TTTGACTGAGAGTGCTTTGACTCTATCGAGCAAGTGGGGAGAATAGACATCATAATATTGAGTTTTCTCATTCATGGTATGTCCTTCAATTTATTTTTGGTCTTCCTTGGTTTTTCTGAGCATCGTTTTATAGTTTTCAGTGTACCAGTCTTCCATATTTGTTGTCATTTTTATCCCAAAATGTTTCATATTTTCGAACATTATTGTAAATGTATTTAATTTTTTAAAATTTATAATTAATTGCTAGTGTGTAGAAGTAAATTTATTATTATTATTTCACATCTTTATCCTACATCTTGCAATCTTTCTAAACTCAATTATTAGTTCCGGTAGCTTTTTAATAGATTCCACAGGATTCATTACATGGACTATTATGTTTATGACAATAGAGATGATCTTACCTCCTTTCCAATCCAAGTGTCTTTCTTTTCTTGCCTTATTGTACCAACTAAAACCACCAAACAATGCTGAACAGAAGTGGTGAGAGTGGACATCTTTGCCTTCTTCCTGGTCCTGGGAAGAAAAACATTCAGTCTTTCACCATTGAGCATGATGTTAGCTGTAAGCTTATTGTAAATGCCCTTACTCAAGTTGAGGAATTTCCCTTCTATCTCGGTTTGCTGATGGTTTTTCATTTTTTCATTTTTTTAAAATCAGGAGATGTTCATTTTTGTTTAATGGTGTTTGTTTGTTTTGTTGCATTTATTGAAATGATCATATGGTTTTTCTTCTTTAGTCCATGAGTATGGTGTGTTACATTGACTGATTTTTAATGTAAAACCAACCTTTTATTCCTGGGACAAATCTCACTTGGTCATGGTATCGTTTCCAGTTTATAAATTGCTGGATTCTCTTTGCCAACATTTTGTTAAGAATTTTTGTATCTATGTTCATGAGGGATATTTGTCTGTGGTTTTCTTGTAATGTCTTTTCTTGGTTTGGGTATCAGAATAATGGTGGCTTAATAGAATGAGTTGGGAAGCATTTCCTGCACTTAAATTTTCTGGGAGAATTTGTGTATAATTGGTGTTATGTGCTAAATTGTGTCCCCCTAAAATTCATATGTTGAAACCCAAACCCCCCAATACCTCAGAATGTGACTATATTTGAAGACAGGGCTTTTAAAGAGGTGATTAAGTTAAAATGAGGTGGGCCCTGATCCAATATGACCGATGTCCTTAAAAGAAGAGGAAATATAAACACACGGAGAGACACTAGAGATGTCCATGCACAGAGAAAAGACCATGTGAAGACACAGCAGGAAGGCAGTCATCTGAAAGCCAAAGAGAGAGCCTGGGAATAAAACCAACCTTGCCAACACCTTGATCTTGGACTTCCAACATCCAGGAAAGTGAGGAAATAAATTTCTATTGTTTAAGCCACCCAGTCCATGGTACTTTGTTATGGCAGCCCTAGAAAACTAATACAGTTGGTATTATTTCTTCTTTAAGTATTTGGTCAAATTCATCAGTGAAGTCATCTGGACCTGGAGTTTGTTTATGGCAAGGTTTTAAATTACACATTAAATTTACTTAGTAGATATAGGGCTACTTCCAGTTGAGTGAGTTTGCATCTTTCTAGGAAACTGACCATTTTCTCTTAATTGTTGAATGTATTCTGACATTCATTTTTATACCAAAAATCACAAATAAGAAAAAAAACATCACCAGTTATTCTACTGTTTAAAGATGACCATCCCTCTTTCCCCCTCCCTCTTGTCTTTACAAGTTCAAGGAATTGTTGTGATTGTTGTGTCTTCTTCTCCCCACACCCTTTATTTGTTTGTGTTTATTTATTTATTTATTTTTAGCTCCCACAAATAACTGAGAACATGTGGTATTTCTCTTTCTATGCCTGACTTGTTTCACTTAATATAATTTTCTCTAAGTCCATCCATGTTGCAAATGGTAGTATTTCATTCTTTTTTATAGCAGATTAGTATTCCATTGTGTAGATATACCCCAGTTTCCGTATCCACTCAGCTGATGATGGACATTTGCGCTGGTTCCAACTCTTCGCTATTGTAAACAGAGCTCCAATAAATGTGGGAGTACAGGTATCCCTTTGGCATTATGATTTCCATTCCTCTGGGTATATTCCCAGAAGTTGAATAGCTGAGTCGTATGGTAATTGTTTGGTGAAGGGTCACGAAAATCAACTACAATGTATATTGAAAAGTTAAAATAAAATTTAAAAAATATTTTTAAAATAAGTAAATAAATAAATAAAGATGACCATTATTACTGTTTTGTAGTATACTTTTCCAGATAATTTTTAAAATATGCACACCAACCCCTTTTACCCTGTATTATATATTTTTTTTAATGTCAGATACTCTTTGAAAACATGATCATGGATAGGTGTTAATAATTTGCCTAATTCCCTAACTTAAGTTGCTTCTGATTTGGGGGCCATCATAAACACACCCCACTCAGTGTTCTTTTTCATCTGTTTCTGGGAACAACTCAAGTTGACATCTTGGTTTACAGTCCCCAAAGTGGAATGACTGGGTTGACCAGTTTATTATTGACTCGTTATTGGGCACCTGTGCTTGATAGGGGCAGGGTGTGGAAGAGGGAAGACCAGCCCAACCAGCACGTCCAGTGGGAATTTGAGATGAGAAAGTGGCAAGTTTCTGTTCAGAGGGTCCTGGGATCCAAGGCTCCTGGGGTCCCCAGCCTGGCCTTGGCCTCCTTAACATAGATCTAAATGGATCCCAGTTACCTGCAGGTTGGAGGCTATATGCTTAGCATGTGGACTGTACCCAGCATTGCTTCTTGACTCTTCCTACTTTGGAGTGCAGTGATACCATTCAGAGGTGTGTGCAAAAATCAGCCAAGCTTTGTTCAGACAAGTGAAGGCAGGGACTAGCCTTATCTTCCCATCGCTCCCAGTCCGATGAGGCAGATGCAGCCCTTGTTCCACTGGGAACCCTGGGCTTTTGGAGGAAATAAAGGGCCCTGCTGTCCAGGATCCCCAGCCTGGGTGAAGCGTCAAGATCTACAAACAAGAACGTATTCAGGCATCTACAAAGGAGTGCATAAGCAAAATAACACCTCCTCTGTGGGGGATGTGTGCTTGGATGCAGTGGGGTTTTCCAGAATAACTTCCTGAGAAGAAGACAGCCTGGAGCCACAGAGGGGAAGTTGGACAGAGGAAGGGTGGGGGCTGGGTGAAGGGGAAGAACGTGTGGGATTGGCCAGTTGATTTGGTATAGCCGGAAGAGGAAGCTGGCAAGGCTAGGGGTAGGGAGGGAAGCCCAGGGTCTCTTCTGCCCATTGTTAGCAGTTTTGGGCACACTGGGGAGAAGGGTCAACATGAGGTTGAAGGGGTTATTTGGAGTGTCAATTTCCAGATGTCCTCTTCTCTTCCCACTCCTTCGTTCCCCCTCGCACCATCTCAATTTACCCCAAGGCTGGAGATCGGGCCGCTGCTCTGCAGCCATCAGATCTTTAACTGAGCACCTACCACGTGCCCCAGCCATGTGACACCTGCCTCTACTAGTACAATCCTTACTCATTGAGGTCTGGCTATATTCATTCTCCAGTTGAGGATGCAGACCAGGGAAGGGAGCGCTCCTGCCACAGTCTCACAGCCAAGAAGTGGGGGTGATGGCACCGGAGCCCCATCAGTGCAGCTGCTCAAACCTCTAGGCCCAGCCCAAGAGGCCAAGCCCTGAGCAGGAGCTCCCAGAGCTCAAGCCCCAAAAGAGGCAAACAGCTCTGACTCCCAGCCCCCCCAGCCTCTCAACTGGAGGCAAATGTGTCCCCATCCCCCACACCACAAGTGCAAATTTGTCAATGTCCAGGGATATTTTTGGTTGTCATAACTGCGGCGAGGGGGAGAGGGTAGCTATGAAAGACCAGGTGTGTTCTCCATATTCTGGGATGCACTAGGCGGGCCACCTGCCATTCCCGCAGCACCAAGACCCAGAAGCCCACTCCAGATGGAGCAGGCTTGCCCTTCCAGTTGTGAGTGGGGCCTAGAGGCATGTGCCTGTGCCCCTCTAGTCTTAGCCTGGTGGCCAGACAGATGTGGGCACTGACATGCTTCTAGATGCAGGGAGCCCCCCTCTTCCAGGTGTGTGTGGAGAGTTCTCCCCAGATTCTGGACTGTCTCTCCAGATGTGGAGGAATGCCCTACAGACATGGGCTTGTCCTCACAGAGTGGTCCCCCGACAAAGATTCTCTCCTTGACCAAACTCTGTGCAGGCTCCCAGGAGCTCTGTTTTCAACTAGGCATGAACATTTGGGCTTCCGTTATCTCAGCATTGTCCAATTTTAGCAAGAACCCAGCTGAGGTGGTTTATCTAGAATCCCCTGTCCTCCATATCTGATCAGGTTCCTCATCCTCCACATCCCCCAGGTGATGTCGTCACCTGCCCTGCCTGCAGCAAGAATCCTGCTAGATGGGTTCAGCCAGAATCCCCCCTCACCCCTGATGTGTTAGTAATTTTCCATCCACAGGCCCCCTCCCCAACCATGTTCCTTGGCTATAAATTCCCACTTTTCCTTCTTGAATTTGGAGTTGAGTGCAGTCTCTCTTTCCCACTGCAGGACCCACTGCTGTGGTCCCCACCCCTCTCACCATGGCCCCCCTTGAATGAAGTCTGCCTTCTGTGCTTTAGCAAGTGTCATTGAATGACTTTTCCTTTAACATCTTTCAGATGGAGATAAAGAGACCTCGGGGCTAATTTCCTTTCAGACGCGTGGGGAGGGGCCATCCCTTGGCCAGGTGCAGACATCCCTCCACCAGGAAGGCCGGAGCACCCTGGGGTGGGGACTGTACCAGCCAGCTGTGGGCAGGGCTGTGGTGGTGGGAGGGGGTGGAGCCTCCTTTTTCTAGGGCATGTGTCACCTGCCTCCTGCTCAGGGGCACTGCCCTGGCACTGCCCTGCCAGCGTGTGTGGCAGCGTGAAGCTGGGGCCTGCTCCCCGGAGCCTTTGGAGTGTGTCACAGACCTCTCAAGACCTATGTCGCTGGCCCCCCAGAACCCGGAACATGGCAGATGGGGCGCAGGCCAACCCCAAAGGGTTCAGGAGGAAGGTGCTGGTTAGACGCCTCCCTGGGTGGAGGGGCCCAGGCCTCAGGGCCCCTTCTCCTGTGAGAACCTCCAGGTAGGTGCCTGCTGCCCTGGGACGGAGTCCTCCATGGAAAGGGGCAGGGAGAGGGCAGGGACTGGCTCCTAGAATCCATTTCCCCTGGCTCTCTGAGTGAGGGGCTGAGATGTGTCACCGCGTTTCAGCACTAGAAGGGCCAGGGAACACTTACAACCCTCATGGGGCTGAGGGATCTGTCCACAGTCACTCAACATTTTGGAAGCAGAGCCAGAACTAGAATTGAGGGACCCAGGTCTCTTGGCTCCCGGTTCAAGGCCCAGCCACAGGTTTGGGTAATATGACTCCCTGTCCCTGGACTCCCTAGAGTGTGATGAACGTGGGTTGGAGGCTGATGCATGGAGGGGATTCCTGCTCAGGGTGGGAAGGACAGAGTCTTCGGTGCCCCCCCAGCCCTGCCATCCCGGGGTGTGCTCCTCCAGGAGGAGCAGGGCAAGTGGGGAAGTGCTGGTTGCAGGGCTGGGGTGGCCACTGGGGCATCAGGGACAGCAGAGGTGGCACCCGTGATGAGGCCCTATTCTGCAGGAAGGTGGAGGGGCACACTCAGGCTTTGGGGTTCTTCCTCTCTCAGGTGCAGCCTGTGTCTGAAGAAACTCCTCGCCATGGCCATCCTGGCTGGCAGCGGTGAGTACAGGTTCTGGGGGAGACTCTTCCCCCTCTTCCCCTCCCAGTCTTTCTCCTGTGACATTGGACGCCTAGGGTACTGTTCCACTGACCAGCCTGGAGACCTTAGGCCAGTCCCTTCCTCTCTCCGGGCCTCCACTTACTGATTCATCTCCTCTGCTGGGCTGTTTACTCCTCCAGCCAGCTGTAAACATGCCAGGGGCCAGTTGGCATTTACGAGGCTCAAGGGGCAGGGCGCGGAGCTGAGCAAGCATCGTAAAATAGTGGTGTTTGCTGGGCGTTTGTGTACATAAGAGTGCGTATGAGTGCGTGTGGCGTGTGGGCAGGAGTTAATGAGTTGGTGTGCAGATTGACACGTGTATCCGTGTGTAGGTGCATCTGAGCATATGCTGGTGGGTACGTGTGCAACACACATCAATGAATGTCAGTGTCGGCACCTGAGTGTGTGAGCCTATTAGTGCCTCTTCCCGTGCGTGTGTGTTCCTTGTGGTGTGTGTCTCCAGCATGTGCATATGGATGGAGGGCGCACACCTGTGCACCTGGGTGTGTATAGGGTGGGGGTCTGCATGAGTGTGCAAGGCAGCGGTGGGAAGGCCCTGCACTTCTTTCCCAGGGTGGTGCTGCGGGCATCCTGGATCGGGGGCAGCTGCCCACAGGGTTGTTGAGGGAGGCTCCTGCCAGGTACCTTTGTGCAGGTGCCTCAGGGACATTGAATGTTGAGTGACGCCTCGCTGGCTTTTCATGCAACCTGTTAAACATGGCCCGAACACAGCCTGGCTTGAGGGGAAAAAAAGAAAGGCCAGAAACAAAAATAAGGTCTGGCGTGGCCAGACCTGAGAAGGGGTTGACTGCGTTCAGGCAAGGTGACCTGATATTTAGAAAACTACCCCCTGGTTAGGGAGGCTGAACGCAGCCTCACACCACTGGTTAGGGAGGCTGAACGCAGACTTCGTTTCTTGCGCTTGGAGTGTGAGTGCAGACATGGCCTCAGTCCAGCCACCGTCCTCCCCCGGGGGCCGTGTGTGTGTGTGTGAGTGCATCAGGTACGTGTGGGCGTGTCCGTGGGTGTGGGCTGTGCGTGAGTGTGAGACGTGTCAGCTGTGTGCGAGGTGTTTCTGGGGGAGTGTGTGCATGAGTACGTGGTGTGTAGAGGACAGTGTGAGGTGGGGAGTGTGAGTGTGTGTCTGTGGGTGCGGCCACCTCGCATGGCCAGGTAAGTTTCTCACTCTTCTCTTGCCACCTGGGAGTTGATGGTTGGGGGTCCCCTTCCCACAGGGGAACATCTACATTGCTAGTGGGGGAAGGGGGGGCTTTTGGGCTGGGGGAGGAGGCGGCCAGGGTCAAGCTGCTGCCAGGGCCAGGTGCTCCACACACGTTCGTGATGACACTTAACCCTCCAAGGTCCCTGCAAGGTGCGGGCGGCGGGGTCATTATCCCCAGTCCTCAGATTTGGGAATTGAGGTCAAAGAGGTTACTGGTGTGCCAGGCCCTGAGCTGGGCACTGGCCCGCCTGATCTCTCATGGTGGGGCTTGTTATTCCCATTTACAGATGAGAAAACAGAGCCCCAGAGGGCTTTAGTTTTGGGCCCAGGTCTGTCTGACTCCAAAGTCCATGCTCTTCCCACTAAGGCACGTTGAAGTGATGAGTCCCCATCACTGGAGATGTTGGGCAGCCACGTCTAAAGAAGCAAGCCAGAGTGGACTTTGGGTTTTCATGCAGCCTCCAGTTTCTGAAACCCTTGTCCCTCTCCTGGTACATTTTGTCCTTCGGGCTGTGAGGCGGGGTGGGGGATGTGGAGAGAGTGGGGACAGGGCACTGAGCTGGGCGCCTAACCCTGGCGCAGCTGGAGGTGCCCAGGGGTGGAGGCCACAGGCAGGTGTCTGGGCTCTGCCACTTCCAGCCTATACAACCTGGGCAAGCCTTCACCTTTCTGAGCCTTAGTTTTCTCATCCATAAAATGGGGATAGAGAGGTTCTCCTGCTGGTGTGTGGGGTGGCTTCACCCATGTAAGGACCATAGCACCAGGCTTGGTGTGTTGATTCAGCACCAAGCCAAGAAGACACGTGGAGTCAGCACGGGCTGCTTGGAGAACCCAGCACAGCGGGGACTGCAAGAGAGAGGGAAGGAGTGGAGAGGGGAGATGTCCCTGGGTGGGTGGGCCTGGCAGGTTCCATGAAGCTGATTTCAGTGGTACAGGAAGCGTCCTTGCACTATTGCTTCCTGTGTGTGTGTGCGTGCAGGCACGTGCGTGTGTCCTTCCTCCAGCACCAAGCCAGTATCAGCCTATAATATGAAGCCTTTTCTGTGTCTTCATTAAATGACCAGAGCACTGAATTCATCTCTGGATTAATCCTGAGATACACCAGCCCCAGGACGTTGGTGCTGACAGTGACTCCCCGCAGGAGGCAGAGGTGCCAGACAGAGGCCAGGAGGGGAGAAGAGGACCCAGAATCAAAGCCCCATGGTTCATAGCAGCGTGAGGCCTTTGCAAAGCCCCTTCCAGTGTATGGAGCACTTGGGCAGCCCCTCTGAGACGAGTGTACAGCCAAGCAGCAGAGGGTGTGGATGCGGGACCCTTGCTTCCGTCTCCCCCACTTTCTGACGACATGACCTTGGGCAAGTTACTGAGAGCTCCAGGCCTTAGTCTCCTCACCTGTAAAATGGGACAACAATGGGCCTTGTAGAGTTGCAGTGAGCACTCGGTGAGGTGATGCCTGAAAGAGGCTTAGGACAGTGCCTGGCCCGGAGCGAGCCCTCAGCAACATTAGCTGCATTAGTTTCTCAAGGCTGTAGGGCTTACCGTGGAATGTGGGCACGCAGCTCACTTGGCACTCTCTAGATTTCTTCTCTCTTGCTGCTCTACAGTCCCTCCCCCTTTCCCTGGCCCTGGGGTGTTGGGAAGACTGTCAGTCCTGACTCTCGGGCCTGGACAGGAGCAGCCACTAATGGGGCAGGGGCTCACAGCGTCCCTTTGTCATCTTGCAGTTCTGTCCGCAGCCCACAGCAGTCTGCTCAACCTGAGGTCCATGGTGGAAGCCATCACAGGGAGAAACGCCATCCTGTCCTTCGTGGGCTACGGCTGCTACTGCGGGCTGGGGGGGTGCGGCCACCCCAAGGATGAGGTGGACTGGTAGGTGCCGGAGGCCTGGGCTCCTGTTGAGGACAAGGTGGGGTGGCTGAAGGTCAGACTGATTTCTGTCCCCGAGAGGTGGGATCCTTTCCCCAAAGGATCAGGCTTGTTGGGTGGGTTAGTGACCAGGAGCCTGATCTCCCATGTCCTTTCCAGCTGTCTTGGATGCTTTCTATTGTCCTTCTCCAGGGTCTTAGGCTTGGAAGTATTTCAACCCCTCCCCTTTCCAGGAAGGTACCTTTGACCTGCCCCCATGGGAGCAACAGTCACACAGCTGATGCTCCGCAAAGGCGAGGGCTGTGACCCCCACCCCCATCAGAGTGGAGGCTCTGGAGGACGGACTGGCTTCCTCCATCAGACTGGCTGTCTTCTGCTCCTATCTCCTCAACAGCAGCCAGCACCAAGTCTGGTATCACTGGGAGCTTAATTAATGCATGTTAATTAACTGGCCTCACTCCCCCAGAGGTGATGGGGACAGCCACACTGCATTTGCTTCCTGTACCCCCCATTGACCCTCCAGACCTTTGCTCCTTCCCGGCCATCAGGCCCAGCTGAGCATAGCTTCTGCATACAGCTGGTGCTCTTCTGGCATTCATGTAAACCTAAGCCCTTCCATCCCACTCTAACCCCATTGCTGGACTGCCCCACCCCTCCTGCAGTTGCACCCAGGGCTCCAAGGGAGAAAGCTGGGAACCCTGGGGATAGGACAAGGAGGCAGGATCATGGACAAGAACCTGGCTGTGTGACCTCAGGAAAGTAACTGCTCCTCTCTGGGCCTCAGTCTGAAGGTCTGACCCATGAAGGACTGAAACAGATGTTCAGAGGTCTCTGCTGGTGAGAGATGGGCCAGCTGGCCACACCTGCCTGTTCACCTCTGCCCACCCCTAGGTGCTGCCATGAACATGACTGCTGCTACCAGAAGCTCTTTGACCAGGGCTGCCACCCCTACATGGACCGCTACGACTACACCATTGAGAATGGCACTATGATAATCTGCAGTGAGTCCCTCCCCCTCCGTCTGGGCCAGGACAGGGGCAGGGACTGCCAGCCCCACCAGCTTGTGCTGGGGTCGGGGGCAGGCTTGCCAGATAAAATACTGGATGCCTAGTTAAGTTCAAATTTCAGATAAACAATAAAAAATGTTTTAGTATCAGTATGTCCCAAATACTACATGGGACATTCTGACACTAAAAATTAAATGTTGATATGAAATCAATTAATAATTTATAATTAATTAATATTCATAAGAAATGAAGAATTAGGATAAGTATATCCCATGCAGTATTTGAACATACTTATACTAAGACATTTCTTGCTTATCTGGAATTCAAATCTCACCAGGCATCCTATCTTGTTTTGTTGTTGATGTTTTGCTAAATCTAAATCTGACAAGCCCAGCCGTGGCTCTAGCACATCTCCCTGACGTGCTCTGATCCCCCAGCCTGGAATTGGCACCCCGGTTCTCCAGTCCCAGCGACTCTCAGGCTTTGGAGAGCATAGGAAGTGATTCTGATTCAGTGGGTCTGGGTGAGTCCCAGGAATCTGGTTTTTAGCTAGATCCCTAGATGATTCTGAGACTGCTGTTCTGCAAGGGGCCCTTTGAGATGTGCTGGCCTGAGAGTCAGGAGACCTGGTATATATCAGTCCATTTCTGTTGCTTATAACACAATACTTGGAACGGAGTGGTTTTTAAGAAAACAAAATGTATTGCTTACAGTTTCTGAGGCTGGGAAGTCCAAGGTCCAGGGAACACATCTAGGGAAGGCCTTCCTTGGTGGTGGCTTCAGTGACACAGGACATCTCATTGTGAGATGGCAGAAGAAGAGAGAGAGAGCTCCTCATGTGCTCTCCTTTTAAAGCCCTCGGAACCACGCTCACTATTCCAAGAATGGACCCATCCATTCATGAGGCTACAGTCCTCACAATCCAATCACCTCTTCGAGGCCCCACCTTTCAACTACCACAGTAGTATTTCCCATCCTCTTAACACTGTCACAGTGGGGGCCAAGTTTGGAGGGGGACATTCAATGCAAGGCACCTGGGATTGAACACAGGTCCTGCCACTGGCTCCTCACTGGATAGCCCCAGCAGCACCCTTCCCCATCTAAACTCAGTCCCTCACTCATGGGTACATGGAGGGGTTTGGATCAGAGCAGAGCCTTTCCCTTCCAGTTCCATCACTGGGTCCCCACCAGAAGAGCTGGCCCATCCCGGGACTCCCAGCATTTCCAGGGATCCAATGTGTTGGAGCCAGGCCTGGTGGGGTCCATCATTTACTGCAAACTCCCAATGGCCATTCCCCAACTAAGGGGTATAGGCAAGTGTCATTCAAGATAATAGGGCCCAGGTGTCCCTGCCCTGCCTCCCTCTGTTCCCCTCTCTAGGGTGGGGTGGGACTGCCATGGCCCAGCCCATGGCCAGCCTCTGGGCTCTCTCTGCCTCCATGTCTTATCCAGGCTCTGCACGTTGTTTCTCTCAATAGCTCACAAGCAGTGCCAGCTTTGCAAAGAAACCTGAGTCTCCTGTTAGCTGGGAAAGAGTCTGGTGGGAAACTGTCCACATTTGGGGCCCCCAGGGAGCCCATAGCTCTGTGTAGTCTGCTGTTCAAACATGGGGTAAAGGGACTGGCTGGCGAGAGGGTATCTCCCCATTAAAACAGTTCAAGGAGAGAAAGCCTCTTCCTATCCAAACAATGAACTAACCTAAAGCAGAGGAGTGGTTTTCAGGCTGGGTTCTAAGGCTTCCTGGGGGCATGGGTTGGCGGCCTTGAGAGATGATGGGTTGGCGGGAGGGGGGTCCCTGAGTGGTCTGGCTGGCTCTTGAGTGTATTTTGTAATTAAACAGCTTCTCTTTCAGCTGTTTGACATATCAGCCTTCTGCAAAGAGTTTCATTAAGAGAAAGGATTATGCTGATGGAAAGTTTGCAAATCAACGGGGCTAGTCAGAGGTTCTCAAAGGATGTTCCCCCAACCAGCAGCAGCAGCAGCTCCTAGGAACTTTTTAGAAATGCAAATGGCAGGCCCCACCCAGACCCACTGGATCTGGAGCTTAGGGGTGAGGTCCAGCAGCCTGTTTCAACAAGCCCCCAGCTGGTTCGAATGCACACCGAAGGACGGTTTCTGCAGGCTGATAGCAGCGGCAGCAGTTGCCCAGTGTTAAGCATTTGCTAGACATTGAGTGGTTTTCTCTCTCAGTCCTTACCATAACTCCCTCCAGGGTGAGTGCTCTTTGATTCTGTGACCCAAGGGAGGAGGTCTGAAATAATAGAAAGTAACTGGCCTGGGAGTGGGCCTTTATTTAGTTCTCTGGTGACTTAGGTAAACCCATCCCCCTTTCTGGGCCTCAGTTTCCCCAACTATACAACTGGATTTAGTGGTTCCCCAACTTCAGCAAGCCCCAAAGTCACCCAGAGCGCTTGTTACAACACAGACTGCTGGGCCCAGGCCCAACCCCCAGGCCCGGGTGGGGACCACATTCCGAGGACCACTGGGCTCTCAGAGTCTGCACGCTCCCTCCCCAATGTCCTGGTGGGGCCACTGCCCCTTTCTCTGACAGCCTTTGCCGCCCCTGCTGTTCACAGGTGAGCTCAACAATACAGAGTGTGGCAAGCAGACATGCAAGTGTGACAAGAGCTTAGTTCTGTGCCTCAAGAGCCAGCCTTACCGGGAGGAGTACCGCGGCTACCTCAACATCTACTGCCGGGGCCCCACACCCAGCTGCAGCATCTACCAGCCGCCCCCCGAGGAGGCTGCCTGCAGACAGGGCGCCCCTCCCTAGCACCTCTGAGGTCTGACAGAGAAGAGGGTCTGGGGGACCAGACAGGTGGAGCAGAGGGTGGGGGCTGTAGCAGGAGTCCGGGGCTGGCCTGCTGCCTCCTCCCGGGGCACCCAGAGGACTCAGGAAGGCCTGGGCCCTGGCTGTGATCGCCGGGCTCTTCCAGCCCAGCACTGGGGTGGCTGTGTCCTGCCACTGGTTCTGGACTCAGGAGGAAACTGTGGCTCGTAGGGGTCTCCCCTGAGCGTGGGAGGCAAGACCTGGGAGAGAGGAGGTGGGGCCTCTGAGCGGGACCTCTGTCCCTGGCCCTGTCTTGCCTCCCTGGAGCCTTAGAGACCAGACCTTGAGCCAGCGTAGGACCAAAGCTTGGGTGTGTCCTAGGGCCAAGACCCCAGGCAGGTAGAGTGCTGGTCACCAGGCCTAGGCTCTGGGGCCCTTTGGCCAACCCCACAGGCTGGCTCAAGGTGACCTCTGCTTTGCAGCTTGTGGCCCTCTAGAGCCCCATTAACAGAGCAGGTAGCCCCACCCCGCCCTTTGTCAAGGGAGCACCTGAATCCAGGCCCAGTGCTGGCCACAGTGCTGAGTGTCCCAGCCCCTAAGCTCGGCCACCATTACCCAAAGTGCCTCAAAGTGGCTCTGGGGCTCTGATGGACCCCACCTGCCCCTGCCCGGGGACACTTCTCTGGGTGCGTGGGGGACAAAGGCGGGGCACAGGGACTAAGGTGGGGCACACTCATATATGCCCCCAACACTCACAGGTCTTCTCCTTGCCTCCCTCCGGCCCAGCCCTGCCCTCAATACCACACTGCTCTGAGGAGCACCCGGCCGGGGTGGGGGGCAGGACACAGACCCCTCTCTCCCTTTGCAGGGGCAGGCAGGGCTGTTTCCAGGCGCCGGAAGTCCTGTCCATGGGGAAGAAGTTGAGGGCTGGGACCCACCGCAGTGGAGAGGGAAACAAGGGCAGGAGGGAAGAAGGCAGGAGGGAGGGAGCAGGGTGGCGAAGAGGGAAGGAGGAGAGGATGGAGCGAGGTGAGACAGGCGAGGGTCAGCCGTCCAGAGGTAGCAGCAGGACGGAGGAGCTTGGGGTGCAGGGGCCTGGGCGGGACGGTGGCTCCTGGGCCTGCCCCTGCGCTGTTTCCCCAGGGCACCTCCCCTGCTCCTTGGCCTCCACCTGGCCAGCCCTGCCTCACACCCGGCTTCTGCCTCTGTCCCGTGTCAACTCAAGGACCCTCTGATAATGTTCCTCCTGCCTAGACCCCGCGAGCAGCCATCAGGACACTGGCCTGCCCTGGCAGTGTCCCCGGGAATCATGGTCACTGGGAGGGAGCTCCAAAGGGGTGGAGGTGGACAGGGAGAGAGGTCTGCAAAAAAGATGGCAGGGGGGGGCAGAAGCCTCCAGAGCAGCAGCTTCTAGAACACCAGCCTTCAGGACTGAGGAGGAGGCCGGCCAGGGTCAGCTGTCTTCGCTGCATGTGGGAGGAGGCCCTTCCACTGCTCACCTGCTGGCCGCGGTGGCCACTGTCTGCTCAGTCACTGAGACCCTTGCCCTTCTCAGCTGGCCCGAGTCTCTGAGACAAAGCCCCTACCCTGCCAGGGGTGGAGCTGGGATGGGGCCCCTGGGGGTCCGGCAGGGGCCTGGTCCCCTTACCTGTGGGAGCCTAGGCTTCTGGCTGTGCGCCCTCCATGGTGAACACACCCTCCCCTGCTGCAAGGCTGGGCCAGCATGTGGGCATGAGATTCTGCCGCTAAGGGGTCCTGCCCCTCCCCCAACTCTCCCAGATGCTGCAGCCCCAGGAGCACCTGCACAGGCCTCGGCATCCCCTTCTCTAATTAATAAAGTCCTGCTGCCTCAGCTCCCCACTGCTGGGTCCTCCTTGGCTGGGCATCAGGGGAGGGGAGGGCACAGTGCCTCACTCCTGGGACTCCAGCTCCGGGCAGGCAGGGTCCTGACAGCCAGCAGCTGGCATGGCCCATCCCCTTGCCGCCCCCCGGCCTGGGGGTGAAGAGGCCGTACTCCAGCAGAGAGATGCAAAGGTTGGGAAGGTTGGAAAGCAGATTCTGTGGTCCAGCCATGGGACAGTGACATCAAGGGCTAAGTGCTTTCAGGCGTCAATCTCCACAACACTCTCCCCAAGGCCCAGAGAGGGAAAGCAACTTGCTCAAAGTCACACAGGTCATCAGTGATGGGGCTGGGCTCTGAGTCCTCAGTGTGTAACTTTTAACCACCCCTCCGTGCACCTCCTTAATGACGATGAGGACAGCTGGGGCAGTGAGACAAGTGACCAAGGTCCTGGATATCAGCCAACTCCAGTTCTCCTTCCAGCTCTGCTGCTAACATAGATTGAGCCTCTATTGTCCCATCTGTGACACGGGCCTGAAGGATCATAGGCTTACTGCAACAGTCACTGGGACAGGGGGCTGGAAAAGACATTGCGAGCTGAATGGGGGTTGAGGGAGGGGTCAGGGAGGGGCGGAAGATAATTACGCTCCCGTGATCATTAGTTCAGAGGCCAGATACTTCCTAACAATGAAAGTGGGTTGGTGACAGTGAGAATCTGGCAGAGCAGCAGCGTCCCGGGTCCTGGTCCTGGCCCCTTCCCCGACTCCATTCCTTCCCATTATGGGCATCAGTTTCCTTGTGTGAAGAGCGACCACAGTGGCTGCTTCTGCTGCTCCTCGAAGCCATGGGTTTTCCTGGGGACCGCTAGGAGTGATCCTTGGGGAGGAGGAGACTGAGCAAATGGGCTCTGTCCCCCACCCCGATCTTCAGTCGAGCAGCCCTGCTTTTCTGTATTATATTCCAGGCTTTCACACAAGATACTGTGAGAAGAAAAGAGATTCCTCAACTCCATCTCTTAAAAGTTGGAAAACCCTCTGACACGGTCATGCGTTGATTCGTTCATTCAATGCACCTGTACCGACGGGCTCCCCTGTACCAGGTGTGATGCTGCGCTTCCAGCCTCCGTCCCAGCGGGCCGCTGCCTAGGATGGGGAGGCGGACATGGGAACTAATGGCCTTGACACGTGCTGCCAGGTGGTGTCGCTGGGAGCACAGAGGATGATGCCCCAGGTCCCTGAAGGTGCCCCAAAGGGGATCAGGAGTGGGGCTGGGATGCTGTATCTGGGGTTTCCCTGGGGATGGAGACAAGGAGCAGGGGGTCACATTTTTTGAGGAGGGGGCTCCTTGCTTCTACACTCTGGGGGTCTCTCCTTCCCTTAAGTCTCCTGATGACTCCTTCCAAGTTGATGAGGTCTTCTACACTAAGGCCTGAGGAGGGGACTGTCCTTGCTCCTCACTGGCCTGGAGGCTGCCATCTCTGCCCAGACCTGGTCAGTCTTCTGCGTGTTCTGGACACTCATGGCCCCTTCCCTGCCCCCCTTCCCTAGTCTCCAGGACCCCCCGGGGAGTGGCTAACTCTTCTCTAGAACTTGGGCGACACCTAGTGGACATTATGGGACACCACCGGTGCTTTGCGCTGTGCCTCCTGCCCCTCTCTCCTTCTGGAACCCAGGCTGGCAATGCCCAGGACAGCATCACCTCCATCTCACTGCTGTCAACGCCGCCTCTCACTAAGAGCAGCCCTTAAAGCAAAGGACAGAGACTGGGTGGCACCCTGGCTCTGACACTCACGGACTGCGTGGCCTTGGGCAAGTCACTTTGCCTGTTGGAGTCTTGATCTTTCCCCTTTCATAAAATGCGGGTTAGTGATGATGCAACATCACAGGGCCTGAGGATTAGATGAGGTCAGGGATGGGAACGCCCCAAGCACAGGGTCTGGTGTAGAGAACAGACCTGTCAGAGCTGGTGGCAGGTGCCCTTGGCTCCTGTGTTGGGCGAAAGGTCCTTGGGGTCAGGCCGGCACACAGCAGCAGGTAGAAGGATTTGCTGATGGAAGTGGATTGCCTGTGACATTCTCCCCTGAACAGAAGCCTGGCAGAAGCAAAGCTGTGCTTTAGCAAGAAAACCTGTCTCCCTGCGTGTGGGCATGAGGGGGAGAGCAGAGAGTGAAAGAAGGAGGAGGATGGGAAGGGGGCAGACAGGAAGGTTTTGTGGGCACTTATTCCCCAAAACCACAGCCAGGCACCTGACACCCTGCCCGACGCTGGTCTCAGCCGCCACTTCTCCGCCATGTCTATGAATACAGAGAGGCGACGCTTTCTTCCTCAGAGGCCGGCTCAGCAACAGCGGCTGTCAGCCTCCCCAGTTGTGGCTTTTTAACAACCAGCTGATGCCACCAACTGTGACAAGAAGCAGAGTTCTGGATAGAAATACCAAGGCCCCCGGCATTGGCACAGGGTACAGTAAAAAAGGACATATCGTCCTGCCAATGGCCACCCTGCTGGAACTCCCATGCTCCACCTGGGCAGGGGGGCCGGGATCTCAGGATGTCAGGGCCCCAATGAGGAGAGCAGGATTTATTGAGCACTTACTGTATGCCGAGCACTGCGCTGACAGCTTCATGTGTCATCTCACTGAACCCTCCTATCAACCCTGTGAGGTGGGGACTATTCGTAGCTCTGTTTATAAGTGACGAAACTGAGGCCCAGAAAAGCCAAAATTACTCAAGGTCATGCAACAGAAGCAGGATTTGAACTCTGATCCCAGAACCTTAACCTCAGGGAGCACCCGGTCCAACCCCCTCCTTTTGAGGAAGGGGATGGGAAGCAAGAGATTCTGAATTGGAAGACGTGGGTCCGTGCTCCAGCCCTGCTGCGTGCCAGGGGCCACCTGCAGCCAGTCCCCAGTCCTCTTTGGCCCTCTGTTTCCATACACAACATGGGGATGAATAATTCTGGGGCTCCCTCTGATGCCCGACAAGAAAATGGATGAGAAAGAGCCTCTGGAAGGGTCGGGTCTGCACAAATATCAGTTGTTCACTACGATGAGGAAAACTGAGGCCCGGGGAGAAGAGGCGGCCTGTGTGAAGCCCTCCTTCCTCCAGCTGCCTTCACAGGACTCAGGGCCTTCTCTCCAGCCCCAGGCTCCAGCTCCACCCTGCTGCCTGTCATCCCCAGCAGCAGCCAGAACCAGAACCTTCCAGCAGCGTCCTAGGTCACACCTTCCCCCACGTATCTCCAGCCCTGGATTTCTTCTCAGAGGAGCCCGATGAGAGGGATCCTGGGGGAGAGTCAGCGGGGCTGGGCTCAGTCCCCACTCGCCACGTGCTGGCTGTGCAGGCTTGAGCAAGCCTGTTCACTGCACTGAGCCTCAGAAAATTGGAGATTTTTTTTTTTTTTTTTTGTCCTTTTTGTCTTTTTTTCGTGACTGGTAATAGGATCGCAACCCTCGGTGTCGCGCCTGCACCGCGCTCAACCAGTGAGCGGACCGGTCTCTATATGGGATCCGAACCCTCAGCGGGAGCGCCGCCACACTCCCAAGCACCGCACTCTACCGAGTGCGCCACCGGGCCAGCCCAGAAAATTGGAGATTTTAACAGAACCTGCCTGGAGACTGCTCAGGTGGTCTATGTGCCTGGCTCAAGGTGAATCTTCGGTACCTACCTGGAGTCTGTTCATCCCAGCAACTGAGGCTTGGGGAACACGTCTGGATGTCCCTTCTCCCCCATTCAGGCTCTCAGAGCCCGGGCCACACCCCTGCCCCCACCTCTTTTTGTTCTCTCATCTGGATGGGATCCAGCTTCAAGTGACCTCAGTAATGCCTGGACCACGCCATGAGCCAGCAGCCCATGCACTTATTGACCCAGAAACCCAGTCACCCACCCTACCATGCCCCAGCTGGCTGTCTGACAGGGCCCACAGCCACGCCTGGGTGGCTGTATGCCACACTCCCTAACATCTGCCATGCCTTGTACAGCATTGCAGACATCCCAGGGAGGGAACAGGGAACCAGCAATTCTGCCTCCTTCAGCTCAAACATGCATAGTCAGCCCAAAGCGAGGAACAGCCTCTCCCAGGTGTGGTACTGAGCCCCACACCCTCCTCAATGGAGCACATGCCAGCTGCTCCCCCACCCTGCTGACGGATGGCCTCAACCAGATGTCAAGAAACATGCAGCTGATGAAAATGTAGTGAGCTGTGAAAATACATCCACATTCAAAGCCTGTCCCCCTGGCAGCAGGGCACTTGCTCCAATAGCAGTGCCACGTGGCCGAGGGAACTGTCAGGCCCAAGTGTCCACTATCGCCACGTGCATCCATGTGTTTTTGCACACTGTGGTCTTAGCCGCCCATTTTGCTCACAAGGACACTGGGGTTCCCAGAGGCTGTGCTGCCCAAGGTCATAGAGGTGGAGAGCGGTGGGTCCCTCAGAACATCACTGACCTCTGCTGCTCCCAGGGTCAAGGCCAGACTCCTCAGAGCAACCACAAGGCCCTCCTTGACCTGCTCACCTCATCTCTTTTGCTCACTCTAAAACCCACCCCCCACATTCCATGTTTCCTACTCTGAGCTACTTGCAAATTCCTCCATGTTCCACATGGTCTTGTGACCTCAAGTCATTCCAGATATATGTCAGTGATAAAAAAAAAAAAAAAACAACAGGGACAGAGAGCCTTGCCCGCATGAGCTCCTATTCTAGCAGGGGAGACAGACAATAAACAAAGAATATAAATGAATGTCTAGTGCTTTGGGTGGCGGAGAAAAGAATTAAAGCAGCAGGACACAGAGGATCAGGAATGCCAGCAGGGAAAGGGGCAGGTATTAAATAGTGTGCTGAGCATCAGCTTCATCAAGAAAGAGAGATCCCCGCAAAGATTTGGAGGGGGTGGCCCTGGGAAGACCTCGGAGGGAGCTGCTGGAGGGTGAGTAGGGGACTGACATGGCTGGACTCAGTCACTGTGTTGTCTGCTGCTACATGGAGAAGAGACTGAGGGCCGCAGGTGGATGCAGTAGCCCAGCACTGGGTGATGCTGGCTCTACCCACAACATGGTGGCCGTGACAGCAGCCACAAGTGGTCAGATTCTAGATTTTTCCCCTCATTTTATTTTTCTTATGTAAACACTTGACTGACTTACTGTATAAACACCTAGATGTATGTTGAAGGTAGTGCCAACAGATTGGATGTGGGGTGTGGGCTATGGGAAGAATTTGATGCTCAGTTTCTGGCCTGGAGGGGCCAAAGATGGATGGAGAAGGGGCCTCCACTGAGACGGGAAAAGTGGAAGGATGAGGAGCTTGCATTCGTGTACCGTGGGGTGTCTTCCAGCCCTCTCCCTGGGAGGCCTTCCTGACTCCTCCTATCCTCCAGGTCTCAGATGCATTGGCAGACCCCCAGCTGTCCCCAGGGAAGCCTTTGCTGATCCTCCCCGGTGGTGGCCGCTGTTCCCCAACATTTCCCAGCCTGTTAACCTGCATTCCCCCTGGTCCGAGAGCTCCCTGGAGTCTGGTGTCTTTATTTCTCCACGCTTTGCACAGGGCCTGGCTTGGGGCCGGTCTTCATACACCTTTGCTGAGGAATGAATGACTGCCCTTGGAGGAGAGTGGGCTTTCCCAGTGAAAGTCAATGACATCCCTTTACAGTCCCACCTTGGTCCTCCCAGAATCAGAGCATCCACGTCAAGTGGGGCTTATATACCATGGGGTCCATCCTCTGTACTCACAGACTGGGTGCCGAGGCCAGGGAGTGGAACAGCTGGCCTGGGGCTCACCCGAACCCCATGCTGAGCCTGGCCCTGGCCCCTTTTCCTCCACTAGGTCGTTCAGCTAGAAACCCTCACAGTCTGGAGTGGGTCTCTGCTGTGGTCCCAGGACCCCTGGCCACCCTGGTTCCATGCCTGCCTTTTTACAAGCCCTTTCCGCACAGGCCATCTGGACCCTCCCTGGAGTTCGTAAGTGTCCCGCTTCCCTTCTGCACTTGCAATTTCCATACGTGGGTGGGTGGGGGAGGAGGAAGAGTGACCCACTCTACGGCATGACTGTGGGAGCTAAGGCAGGTAGAGCCCAGCAGCCCTGGCTCCCAGACCCTCTGCTGATCACCTGCCTCTGCTGTCCCTTTCTCAATCCACATTTTAAATGTCTGAACTCCTAAAAGCTGCTATAGCTCTCAGCATTCTCCCCAGGATTTTTAGACCTGATTTTGTTTGTTTTCTTCAAATTTCCAAATCCTTCCTGCCCAGCACTGTGCCTGGCACATAGTAGGTGCTCAGTCAACGTGTGCCACACGACTGAGTGAATGATGGCAGCTCCCCATGGGTTCTCCATCACTGCAGGAGCCTGACCTTCTCCTCCCACACCTGCCAGGTAAGGGGCAGGGCCGTGTCCACATTTCTGTGGCCTCCAAGTCCAGCACAGTGCTGAGCACCCGGTGCTGAGAACCAAATAAACACAATTACATAAGTTAGTTATTGCCGCATAACAAACCACACCAGAACTTAGTGACTTAAAACAGCAGCCTTTATTTAGCTCATAGTCCTGCAGGTTTCCAGGTTAGCCTGGGCGCAGCCTGGCAGCCATTGGGTCAGCCAGGTTCTCTCACGTGTCTGTGGTCGGCCCTGAGTCAGCTTTGCTGATCTTCGCTGAGCTTCTATGTGCATCCAAAGTCTCAGCTGAGACACCTGGGCTGGCAGCTCTGATCTGGGGGGGTCTTGTCCTCCAGCAGGCTAATGTAGGCTTTTCCTCGTGGTAGAGGCAGGTGTCCTGAGAGAGAGTGGAAGTGCCCAGACCTCCTGAGGCCTGGACCTGGAACTTGTGGACCATCACTTCCACTACATTCTGCCGACCAAAGTGAGTCACAAGGCCAGTTCAGATTCATGGGTGGGGAAAACAGACTCCTCCTCTTGGTAGGAAAGGCCAAGCATTATAACATGAAAGGTAAGGATGCAGGAAGGAGGAACAATTGTGCCCATTTTTTCAATCTACCATGCCAGTCGGGCTATACAAACATCAGAATTCACCCAGATTAGATCACTTTAATATTTATTAGAATTTAAGTCTGATGTAACCAGAGGCTTCTAAATTTGGGTGGAAATTCTGCACACCTCTGATTCCCTCTCCCATACTGTCTTTCTCCATTTCTTTGACGTCTTCCTGGCCATGACATTCGCATGGCAGCAGTGGGGTGCTAAAGTTCTCCTGAGACCTGAAAATGGCATTCATTTTTTCCTGCCTGAGGGCAGAACTTGAGCAAATGAGAGCCAACTGCAAATGTGCCCTCAGCCCTCAGTGTGGGTATAGACCTCATTTTCCAGGACCTCTGCTTTGTTTCCAGCTAGATCTGGGTGGTGGGCCTGGTTCCCAAGTCTGCCCTGCATCCTGATTTGGGGGTGGGAGTGGAGGGAGAGTCTGGGGTCCATTCTGGGGCCTCTCCCCTCCTGGAAACTTCCTCAGATGGTGAGTTGGAAGTATCTCTCTACCCTGTCCCTTGGCTTTACTGCTTCATAGCACTTACTACTAACTGAATGTATCATACACACACACACACTTTGGGTAGTGTGCCCCCCGTCATAGAATGCAAGCTCCTTCAGGACAGGGATTTTGTCTTTTTCATTTCTGACCTTCAGTCCTCAGGTGCTGAATGACATGGAGCATCCTAGGCCAGAATGCTTAAGACGCTGCTCTCGGGGGAGATGTTTTGTTCTCTCTCCTGGGGGAAGAACTGGAGCCTGCTGGAGATGACACTAAGCAGATACTGAAGGACAAGGGGCCTGTGACCTCCCTAGCACTGGGGTCTATGGCTGCCACAGCGGGGCCGGCTGGAGAAGAACTGCTTGAAGTTTTTCTCGTAGGTGGGCAGGCTCTCTCTGAAACAGTACACAGATTGCTTGTCACACTCACAGGCCTTCCGCCCGCAGAGGCAGCCGACGCCAGGACCAAGGGCACATCCACCTGCAGAGACACACAGGGTCACTGGGGGCTCCCAGCAGGCCCCCAGGGTTTGGGACTAAGGTCAGCGAGAATGAGGGGCTCGCTGCAATGGGGCAAGGACAGAAACCCTCCTTTTCCTTCACCCCCAAGCCCATCCCTGATCACATCTGAACATCCCACAAGTGCTCAAGTGAGGAGGGGAGGGTGGGCTGCACAGAGGGGCCCTCAATCGCTGCACCCAGGCAGCACACAGGCCAAGGCGACGGGACCCATTTTCTCCAGTCATTTCATACTTCCAGATGCTTGTCTGACATCTCACTTGGATGTCTCTGGCATCTCCTCTCCAACTTGAGACATTCAAAAGGGGACATGATACACTGTGCTCCCTCCGCCCCCTGAGCCTTTCACCCACATTCTCGGTACACGGCCCCCTCCAACGGGGAGCCCACCCGGCTTCCCTCCTTTCACTTTTCACATCCAGTCTACCAGCAAGTGCCACTGACATTCTCCACGTTTAAAACAGCTCATGCTTTGCCCTCTCCTCTCCATCCTCTTGGCCACTACCCAAATTCCTGTCACCGCCAGCTCTTCCTCCTTAATGGAAGGAAATAGTCAGGGACTGTCTTAAAATGTAACCTGAATTATGTCCACTCTCCTGCTTAAACCCATGCTGTGGTTTCCCATTATTTGGGGAAGACATCCCAAGTCCTTGTCGTGGTCCACAGAGCACAGTTGCCTTGATGCAACCCTCATCAACCCATCCCTCCTCGTGGCTCTCTGCCCTCCCGCCCGCTTCTTACACATCCTGCTCTGTCTCACCTCAGGGCCTTTGCACTTGCTGTTCTTTGTCTAAAACGCTTCTTCCCAGGATCTCCAAGTGGTGGGATCAACCCACCCTTTGGGTCTTGGTCAAATTTCACCTCCTCAGAGAGACTCTCCCTGCCCACCCGAATGAACGCTGTCTGCAGGCCACTCTCTCCCACATCCCCTTGTTTAGTCCCTAGTTTATTGTGCTTTTCACAATCTGCACTTCTCTTATTTGCTTACGTGCTTCTCCTCAATGGAGTGTGAGCTGTGTGAGGCTGTGCCCTTGTCTGTCTGGCTCATCCCAGTATCTCCAGCATCCAGAATCAGAAATCGCTGCTGAATAAATGAAGAAAGCCTCTCTGGGCCTTTGAGATTGAATGTCTGTCCTTCGGCTGAGACACCACTAAACAGGGACCTTTTATTTAGCAGTCGGAGCTGTAGCGCAGGGGCCGGTGTGTGTGTGTGTGAGCTGTAGTACAGGTGTGTGTGTGTGTGTGTGAGCTGTAGTGCAGGTGTGTGTGTATGTGTGAGCTGTAGTGCAGGTGTATGTCTGTGTGTGAGCTGTAGTGCAGGTGTGTGTGAGAGCTGTAGTGCAGGTGTGTGTGTGTGTGTGAACTGTAGTGCAGGTGTGTGTGTGTGTGTGTGAGCTGTAGTGCAGGTGTGTGTGTGTGTGAGCTGTAGTACAGGTGTGTGTGTATGTGTGAGCTGTAGTGCAGGTGTGTGTGTGTGTGTGAGCTGTAGTGCAAGTGTGTGTGTGTATATGTGTGAGCTGTAGTGCAGGTGTGTGTGTGTGAGAGCTGTAGTACAGGTGTGTGTGTATGTGTGAGCTGTAGTGCAGGTGTGTGCAGGTGTGTGTGTATATGTGTGCTGTATAGTGCAGGTGTGTGTATATGTGTGCTGTAGTGCAGGTGTGTGTGTGTGTGAGCTGTAGTGCAGGTGTGTGTGTATATGTGTGCTGTAGTGCAGGTGTGTGTGTGTGCTGTAGTGCAGGTGTGTGTGTGTGTGCGCTGTAGTGCAGGTGTGTGTGTATATGTGTGCTGTAGTGCAGGTGTGTGTGTATATGTGTGCTGTAGTGCTGGTGTGTGTGTATATGTGTGCTGTAGTGCAGGTGTGTGTGTGTGTGAGCTGTAGTGCAGGTGTGAGTGTGTGTGTGTGTGAGCTGTAGTGCAGGTGTGAGTGTGTGTGTGTGTGAGCTGTAGTGCAGGTGTGAGTGTGTGTGTGTGTGAGCTGTAGTGCAGGTGTGAGTGTGTGTGTGTGTGAGCTGTAGTGCAGGTGTGTGTGTATATGTGTGCTGTAGTGCAGGTGTGTGTGTTTGTGAGCTGTAGTGCAGGTGTGTGTGTTTATGTGTGCTGTAGTGCAGGTGTGTGTGTGCGTGCTGTAGTGCAGGTGTGTGTGTGTGTGAGCTGTAGTGCAGGTGTGAGTGTGTGTGTGTGTGAGCTGTAGTGCAGGTGTGTGTGTGTGTGTGCTGTAGTGCAGGTGTGTGTGTGTGTGAGCTGTAGTGCAGGTGTGTGTGTGTGTGTGCTGTAGTGCAGGTGTGTGTGTATATGTGTGCTGTAGTGCAGGTGTGTGTGTTTGTGAGCTGTAGTGCAGGTGTGTGTGTTTATGTGTGCTGTAGTGCAGGTGTGTGTGTGTGCGTGCTGTAGTGCAGGTGTGTGTGTGTATGTGTGAGCTGTAGTGCAGGTGTGTGTGTGTGTGTGCTGTAGTGCAGGTGTGTGTGTTTGTGAGCTGTAGTGCAGGTGTGTGTGTTTATGTGTGCTGTAGTGCAGGTGTGTGTGTGTGCGTGCTGTAGTGCAGGTGTGTGTGTGTGCGTGCTGTAGTGCAGGTGTGTGTGTGTATGTGTGAGCTGTAGTGCAGGTGTGTGTGTGTGTGTGTGTGTGTGTGTGTGTTCCTCTCTCTAGATAACTCCAGCCCAGTTCCACTCTCTTTTTAGGGTTGCAAGTGCCGAACGGAGGCCATCAGAGTCCCTGGTTTGTGACCTTGGGAAGTTAGCTTCAGTCTCCTCATCTATAAAATGGTGATAAGAATAGTGCTGTCAACATAAATGACAGTGTCTACTGCACAGGCTCGTGGTGAGGATCGTTGCTGTTGTTTACAGATGGCGTGTTCGGCTGCGCGTGGCACGGAGGACGTGCTCCGCAGATGCTTGCTGTTGTGCGACCATGAGGCACCCCAGCTCCATGTACACGAGAAGGAAGTGCCCTGTCGAGTCGGCCCCAGCGCTGGTGACAGGCTGCTTGTTTTCCGCTCGCTCTCTGTCTCTGAAGTCCACATTCCTGCACAAGCTGTCCTCCCACACCTCCCTGGAGACTTGAATCCCCCAGGCATGTGACACCCCCACGCGTCAGCTGCCCCTCTCCACTCACCCGCAGGAAATATATGCCAGTATGTCCACACCTCTGGTTCCCCATTCCCGCTGCTCCCCCTATTCCTGACGCCTGGGTCACCCCTGCCCTCCCACTCCCCCTTCCCCATCTGTGAAAATCCTTCCAGATCCATCAAGCCCCAGCTCCCCAGAGTCCCCGGAGCCCCTGTCCATGTCTCTCCCCACTGCTGTGCCAGCTCTTCCCTTGAAGCAGCCGCAGGCCCTGCTCCCCCATCTTCAGCGAGGGCAGGGGCCTCGGGCCCACCCCAGCTGAGCATGCCCTCCTCCCAGGGGGCCTGGACTGGGCACTGCCACTCTGGAAACCTGAAGTGAGACACCTCTCGCCCTGCCTCGGTCACCTCTCATCCTCCTCTCTCCATTTACCTCTGTCTCTTTTCCCAGCTCTTCTTTCTTGCATCTCAGCCCACTGAGCCTTCCTCCTTTCCGTCCTTCCCACCGTGTGCATGACGCTTCTCCCCCGACATTCAGTTCCACTTCTGCTGGCTCGCCCTGTCTCCAGGTCTCCAGAACTCATCTTGAATAGTGGCCTTTCACTGTGGACTATCATTTTTGTGGCATCCTCAGCCATGGTAGGACCGGGCCTGTCACAACCTGGAAGAAGAGGCAGCCCTAGGCTGCACTACACACACACCTGCACTACAGAAATGCCGTCCTTGGAAGCCACCTTTTAAAACCAAGCCTAAGTCCAGATCCTGCATCTTCCAGTGTGCTAATGGAGAAACTGAGGCATGAGAGAAGGAACTGATGGCTTCAGAATGTTCTTTCTCATTCCATGAAATACATCTCCACAAATGGGACAAGGCAACCAGGTCTACATCCCTGCCTGTGGCTGGCCCAGGCCCCTCCCAGGCCTCTGTCTGTGCCCCTGGCCTCGGCCCTGGTCTTCCCCAAATTCTCTCCGTGGCGTTCTTGTTCAGTCTCAGGACTTGAAATGCTCTCAAGTTCTCAGCTGCAGGCCAGACCTGTCCTTGAGTTGTGGACTTCACTATGCACGTGTCCACTCGCCACCCTCCCTCAAACTCAACACGGCTCACACCAGACTCTGGCTGTCTCCAGGGTCCACTCGCCCCTATCCCTTCCCCCATCTTCACAAGCTCAGTAGACGGTGCCACTGTCTATGGCTGCTCAGGTTGAGAGCCTTACATTCAGCCTCTCTTTCCTTCACACCCACATCTGATCCATCAGCTGGTCTGGACAATTTTGCCTCCGAAACATACCCAGCATCCGGTATTTCTCCCCATCCACAGTCACCACCCTGGTCCAAGCTGCGGTTACTCCTCCGTAGTGCTTTGAAACAGCGTCTAACAGGTCCCCTCTCTCCTCCCTCAGTCCCTTCTCTGCATAGTGGCCAGAGTGATCTTTCTCCAGCAAAATTAGAGCATCCCCTGCCTAACAGGCTCCAGTGGCTCCTCGTGCCATTCAGGTAAAAGACGAGCTCCTTACCTCGTCCTCCCAGTCCAATACCCAACCTCATGACCCTCCTCAGGCTCCTCTGCTCCCAGCACACTGGCTCGAGCTCTCCCATCAAATGCCACCTCCTTAGAGGCTACCATGATCACCTAAAGTAGACACTCTTCCCTCCCCCAACCCCTGCCATAGCCTCGCCTGTCACCTTGTCTAAGAGGCTCCAGAGCCCCTGTCGCTGTCTGAATGTATCTTTGTTTATGAACATATTACATCTCTCACCTTCCCTGGAAAGCAAGCTCCTTCTGGGCAGGGATTTTGTCCTTCTCTTTGCTGATCACCAGCTCCTAACACTCAGCAAATGCTCAGTCACTGTCTGCTGACTGCGGCCTCTGGGCCAGCACAAGGAGACTATGCCTTGGGACAGGAAGCCAGCTCTAGTTCCAGACCCAACTGCTCCCATGCTTCAGGGTCCTAGCAGGTTGCTCCTCCTCTCTGAACCTGTCTCCTCAGCTTTCAAAAGCAATAAAGGGGGCCGGCCCGGTGGCGCACTGCTACAGTGTGCCGCTTGGGAAGTGCGGTGGCGCTCCCGCCGAGGGTTCGGATCCCACATACAGACCGGCCGCTCACTGGCTGAGCGAGGTGCGGGAGCAACACCGAGGGTTGCGATCCCGTAGCCGGTCCCGGTCGGGTACAGGCGTGACACTGAGGGTTGCGATCTGTTGCCGGTCACGAAAAAAGAAAAAAAGGAAAAAAAAAAAAAAGCGATAAAGGTACTTGCATGGCCTATTTCATGAATTTTTTTCACTCATTAAACAAACAGGCACTGAGTTCCCAACATGTGCCTGGTCTTTGGCTGGGAACTGGGGGTCCGGGTGTGAGCAAGCAGACCCTACATTGTGCAGATCTGGGGCATGGTCCTCTGTGGGCTCCAGGAAAACGAGCACCTCCCAGACAAGACAGGCTTGCTACCTGATTTTGGAACTTACAGTCTGGTTGGGGGAGAGTCAATGGAGAAGTAAACAAAGACGAAAACAAGATGATTCCAGCTAGAGACGCATGCTGGGAGAAAGGGCGACGCGTCAGCGAGTGAGGTCGCTGTGAGGAGGACACTCAGTAATAAATGACAAAGGTCTTTGCAAACCACAGACCCGATAGCTACCATTTCCACTTTCCCCTGCTGGCAGCGGGAGGCGTCAGAGGCCTGGAGATGGAGGGGATGGTGGGAGAGTTGGCTGGAACCCGGTCTCTGCCTCCCACAGTCGGGCTCCTCCCCGCACAACACATGTGTGTGTGCCTGTGTGGGTGGATGGGGGTGTCACTGCTGGGTGATCTTAAAGTCCCTTACAAATGCCAAGTCCTTATGTAATCCCACTCAAAGGGATAACCATCTCCCAGGTGGCCCTGGAGCAGCTGTACACACCAGGCAAATTGGTCCCCAGGCTCTGAGTACAGGCCTTCTCTGCACTGATGTCCCAGGTGACACTTAGGGACATGGACAGACCAAGCCATTCTCCTCCTTTCCCTGCCATGCTCACCAACCTCATCCCAGAGCAGTAACTGGTTGCTAAGCAACCTGGGACCAGGCTTGGGTGCAGAATCTCAGAATCCAGGACACTGGGGAGGCAGTTAACCCTTGCAGGGGCAGCTCTTTGAACTGAGGTGTGATTGGGGGTAGGGGAAAAGGTTTTATTCCATAGGGGGTTAATAAGTCTAGCCCAGAGGTATGTAAGTGCAGAGGAGACTCTTCAAAGAAACCACTGAATGGTAATTTTTAAAAGCCCCAGTGCTTTTCCACAAAGTAAAGGGGGGAAGAAACTTGGACAAAAAAAAAGTCTCCAGGTCCAAAAGTAAGGGCATGATCTAAGCAAGCACTTACTACGGGCAGGCAGCCCCTTTAGCAGGTTGCTTCAGCCAATCCTTCCAGCAACACTATGAAGTAGAGATGACAGTTCCAATTTTCACATGAGGAGACCAAGGCCCAGCTAAAGGGGTGAAGCTGGGATCAGACCCAGCTCTGCCTGACTCCGAGGCCTCTTAGCAGAAATGGAAAGATCCAGGGCATTACAGAGGACCAAACTCCCCTCTTTGCCCTCCCTGGGCCAATTTGCTGCAGACCACGTGGCAGATTGTGTGTGAGCCCACCAATCAAGGGCACACCTATCAGCCTCCACAGGGCAGGGTGTGAGACAGGACCACCTGGGTCTGAATCCCAACTCTCCTTTCCCTGGCTGTGTGACCTTGGCCATCCACTTAACAACCTCTCTGAGCCTCAGAGCCCTCATTGATAACGGGGACAATAATGCCCACCCCAGAGGTTTATCTTGGGGGTCAAGGTGCTGTGTGAAGCATCTATTACAGGCGCTTGTGAACTGCAGCTGTTGTTACTGTGCCTGTTTCATGGATGAGAAAAAACAAAGCCCAGACACTTCAGGCCACACGGTATGTTCAGAGCACTGGAAAGGCTCAAGACATTTGGATAAAACTTTTCTCCTCTGTGGGCCTCAGTCTCCCCATTGCTACAACAACGGGTTGGTATGGATGGGCTCTAAGGGTGCTTTAAGCTCTGGAGTTCCCTCAAGACTGTGAATGCCCCGAAAGCAGGGGCATGTTCGCCTTGTTCTGTGCCCTTGGCCCGTGGTGCAGCACTGGCACTGGCGGGCACTTAGTAGGCACTTAGTAGTCTCAACAAATAGCAGCAGCAGCAGCAGACCTAGGACTAGAACCCAGGTCGCCTGGGAGCAGGGCTTGGCGAGGTAGGAATGGGATGACAGGGGTGGGCCTGGTGCTCACTGCTGGCTCAGCTGCAAAGGGGGATGCTGATGCCCTGGTGCAGATGTAGAAGCCCCCTCCCATGGCTGCTTCCCTGAGCAGGGCTCTGGGCCTCAGGAGCCCTGGTCAAGGCTTCAGGAACAACTGGCTGCTTCAGCTTGGCAGGGCCAGCAAGTAAGGAAAGCACAGCCCAGACCAGAGCCTTCCAGCCCAGCCCTTGCCCCTGCCTGCACCTGCTGTCACCGTCAAGCCTGTACAAGCCAGGGGAAGTTTCCCTGCACCACCTCCTGGGCTCCAGCCCCTGCCTCAAGCCACTTTCCTCACTCTCCCCCTTCGCCCAGGGTCCTGGGCTGGGAGAGTGAAGAAGGTTGAATAAAGCAACTGCCCCAGGTGCAGAGTGCCAGGCCGACCCCTATGAGTGTAACCAGCCCATAGACCCAAGGGCAGACACGACCTGAGAACGTGAGCCAGGCTGAGAAAAGGTTCAGGGTACCTCTGTCGTGCACCCTCCCTCACCAACCAACAGCCAGGCATCCCCCCACCTCCCCACGTGGGGCGTGGACAGGAGGGAGGAAGCCTCAGAAACTCGGCCCCAGGCCTCAGGAAGGCATCGTGCACTGAAGCAAACCCGACTGCGGGGGCAACCTTCTCGGGTCCCCTCTCCCCTTCCCCTTCCGCCAGGCCCTGACCTGGACTTGGCCTCGGAGGATCACAGAAGAGACACTTTGCTTTAGGCCTAAGGATGATCATAGCCAGAGAGCTCCAATTCAGCACGTCTCATTGAGCTCACAGGGGGCAGGGAGTTCTTTCCCTGTTGGCAATGTGCTCAGGACAGGGGGCATGACAGGCTGGTCTGCCTGCTGCAGGGTCTGAGCCCCAACCCACCATGTTTAGACTGCTCAGTCCTAACTCTGGGTCTCTGTGTGTGCTGAGTGGGAATCTTAGGTGGGGGGTGCTGGGGAGACCTGGGGTCTGAGCATCCAATATGGGACGGGGGGCGGGTAGTATGTATCTCCAGCCCTGGGAGAGCAGTGGAGAGGAGGGGGTAGTTCTCTGACCTCAGGAGGAGACAGATGAACGCCAAGAAAACAGTCACACCTGGGGAGGAAGGGACTGGTCCAAACCCACAGGGTCGGGCAGGAGGTAAGTTGCAGATCACAAGGAGCATCACAACCACCCCTGCACTGAAACAGACTGGTACTCACAGAAGGCTATTGCCAGCACCTTCAAATGTGCTTGCTCTTTAGACCAGACTTGCCTCTACGTGCTCACATCCACCAGCCCCGGAACACGCTCCAGGATATGAGGAACAGTCCCCGTGTGCTGGACACTCTGTACACTTGGCTTGCCCACCCTGGCTCATTCTCTTCCTCCCTGAATGGACTCGGTCACACGTGAGTTCCCGTCCCCTTCCCCACCCGTTTACTTTTGTGTCCCCTGTGGCACCTGTCACAGTGCCTGGCATGTGGTCGGCCTTCACAAATATTTGTTCAACTGAAAGACAGCTGAACTGCTTTGTTAACACATGACAGAAATAAGGAAAAATGTTTGCAACAGCAACAGTTGCCAAGGGAAGCTGCACAATTCGATGTAATCTCCAGTCAACAACTACTTATTGAGCATGTGCTACATGTCAGGCCCTGGGCTCCCAGAGGGAGCTGCAGGTACAGTTGTGGGCAGGAGAGACCTGGGCTAGACAGAGCAAGGACTCACCAAGAAGCTTGGATTCTCGGAATTGCCCCTTTCCATCTCAAAGTACTAGGAAAATCTCATTTCCTAAAAGTTCTCTGGGTCAATGAGGAGGTGGACATTAAGGAAGGGCCCAGGTTCAAAGACATTTCCCTACAGAGAGGCCACTCACAGACCACCGTTCTGTTGATGATGTGGAACTGGTAGCTGTTCAACACAGGCTGGCAGCCAAACTCCTTCAGCTTCTCGTAGCAGCAGTCGTGTGCCAGGCAGCATCTGGGGCCAGACGAGAGGGAGATGAGGGCTTTACCTGCAGTGGGTCTCTGGGGAACCGGCTGGAGGACCTTAGGTGGAGCTGGAAAGAACTCACCTGCCTCCTTTCCCAGGTGAGAAGGCATGGGGGGGGGGGGGTAAATTACTGACAATATGAAAAATAATAGAAAATAACCAGTACCATTTACTGAGCCCTCTCTAGTACCTTTTGTACCAAGGAGTTCTAACAACTCACACTCCCCCACCCCATCCTTAGGAGCAGGCCTGGAAGCCAGGTTTGTGCTGTGTGACCTCACCCAGATGGACAACTTTTCCAAACTGGGTCACTTGGATTCTTGGAATTAGGACTGGGAGACAGCAAGTCAGTCTACAATCCTAAAAATGGGGGAGCTGAGAGACAGCACATTTGTCATGAGGCTGAGAAAGTTGCTAGAGCAGGACCAGTGACATAATTTGCAGGGTCCAGAGCAAAACGAAAATGTGGGGCCCTGTGTTAAGAATTTCCAGGTGGAGACAGCACAGCAGGAAACCGTGTTCAGGCCTTTGGAGTGCTGGGCCCTGTGCAACTTCACAGGTCACACTGGGGCCTGTGCTGGATTCTGCTACTTGCCATGCGAGAGTCCCAATACCTTCTCTCTGGCTTCACTGCATGAACTTCAATGCAAATCAAATGATGGGTGGCCTCAGAGCCTCTGCACGCACCTGTCAGTGTCATCCACGGGGACCCCTTTGCCCCCCAGCCCACAGTAGCAGCCGTATCCGTAATACGAGAAGAAGGCACTCCGCCCTGTGACGCGTTTGACCATCCTCTGAAACTGCCAAAAGCTGCAGTGGGTGGGGGCCGTCACTGTCCGTGAGAGAACAAGGAAGAAGGAAAGATGGGTGAGCACGACGCTGCCCTGACACCCCCTCACTAGAGTGCCTTGCACGTGGGATGTTACCAGATCCTTGAAACAAAGTGCGTGGTCCCGGCTGGGATCATCAGCCCCCTTTAGGGAAAAGGAAATAGGATCAGATTTTACCTCCGTAACACAGCCAGTTTCTTGCTAACCCAGAATGAGCACCCAGTGTCCATGACGTTTAGGACGATGTTCTACTGCCAACCATGGTCTTCAAAAGTAGGAAACCACCGTTCTAGGCAGAAACACCCTTAGGTCTGATGCAACATTAACGGGAGAAGTTCAAAGCCAGAAATGCCAGTCACTACAGACATCATCAGGCATTTACAATCTCACAGGAGAAACAAAATGCTTTAAGAGGCAAGAAAGACACACACAATTCATTTTAAATGGCAAACCCACATGGATCCAGCAATTTTTACTTCTACAAAATGCTTACGAAAGTGGGCACAAAAATGCTTGCTGCAGAGCTATTTGTGATATCAGAAAATTGAAAACTACCCAGGTGTTCACCGATAGGATAATAACAAAATTATGTGTCTTGAAAATATACTATCTTTAGTAGCAATATCTTTGGGCAATGGGATTGCGGAGGTATAGAAAGAAATTTCATATACGTCTATGCTGCCTGACTTTTTTTGACAAGGAGCATGTGTTACTTTTTTACTATAACGTTTTAAATGTGTATGTGTAAAGGCCTAGAAGGTTGTACACCAAACTCTTAAATGTTACATCTAGGTGTAGGAAAGGATTGGGGTTTGGGAAGGATGAGGAGGGGCTTTACCTTGTTACTATGTACTCAATTATTTTACTTTTTAATAACAAGCATATATTGGTTTTGCAATAAAAAGTACAATAAAAACATGAACTCAAAGAAGAAAAACAGAGGCAGAGTTGGGGGAATCTTTGCAGATGCCTTCCTGTCACATTGCCATGTTTAGACACCTTACTGTCATGAAGTGCTGCAGGGGGTGGGGATGAAGCCTCGGGGTGGTCACTGCTGCCCACGCAGTCCTGGGAAAGAGGGTGGGGACACACCGTGGGGCTGCAGAAGTGGGCCTTCCGGCATATGGGTGGCTGCCTACACTATGGTCTTGAAAACTGAAATCCCACCCCTCGGGGAAAAAAGGAAACCTGTTTTTGACATTTTTAACTTAGGATAACCTAAAAGTTATTGCTACGCAACTGAAAAGGACAGAAAAATGAATTTGGACAAATCTCTACTCAACTAACTAATCCTGCAAAAGAGTCTATGAGTTTTCCCACAGACCCAAACCTGTTTCCCAGTAAATCCTTTACACTTTGCAGAGGCATGCAATCTCATCTCTGGTAGCAACTATTTACTCATTATTCCCTAAGTCACCATAACAGTGTCTTCTGATAAGAATTAATCATTCCTAAATTAGCTAGATACACATCTGCATTTTTGTTATGGAATCCACATGACTTTAAATACCAGGGGCAACTAGCATCCAAAGGAAAAACAACTCCCAGGGGTGGGGATGGTCAAACAGTAGTCGAACTCCCTCTTTCTCAATATGGTTAGTAACCTTTAATTCCTACAAGTCTTATGTGATCCCAACACTGGGATCAACCCATTTTAGAGCAGAAACAGAAGCAGGAGAACTTTGGTGGAAGCCGTTTCTACTCCTGATTCTCTTTTGAGTGACTTGTGACTTTCTTTCACCCGATGCCACCTCCAGAGGGTCCATCCCAGTGACACAGACAGGAGGTCAGCATCTCAGCTCTCTCTGGGCTGGTGTACTACTTACAGCAGGAGACGAAGATGAGGAGACTGGCAATGGCAACAACCTTCATTCCCGAGGAGACCAGGGGGTCCGAGGTGACACGGTCATGCCTTTGTCTGCGCATGAGGGGTCCACCAGTTGAACTCCTGTTCAGGGAGGAAATGACCAAAACGAGGTGAGGCCATCTGGGCGCAAAACCCCAACCGCAGTGTAGGCCTTCGAAAGCCCTCAGCAGAGGGCTCAAAGAAATCCTTTTCAAACCTCGTGACCTCTGAATATGACACCCTTTCTGGTATTTAGACCTAAATATAACAAGGGTTCAGTTGTTTGAAAAGTGCAAGCATTGTTCGGTTTTACAAAAATTTCTTTCTTTGGCAACACTATCTCTTCACTTTTTGTTTTTCTTTCTTTTGAGGAGTCAGTATTCCCTCTGTTCCCAAGTTTAAAGGCATGACACTGTTCATCATGAAAACCCAGCTCAGGAAAGTCTAGCTCCATTTGTATGGTGGTCCCGTAGTACACCCAGGTATCTGATTCATAAACGTGGCCCCTCTGAACCTTGGTTCCCTCTCCTGTAAAGTAAGACTAAAAATACCTATCAATAATTTCAAATATTTATTAAGCAATGCTAAGGGCTTCACGGGTATTACACTATTTAATCCTCACAACAACTTAAGAGGTTCCACTATCATTTTAGAGATGGAGAAACTGAGGCTCAGAGAGTTTGAACCAATTTCTTGCAGTCATATAGATGTCTAATTCACAGACTTGTGGACCAGCTGGAATAATGAAAGTAAACTGTTTTGCACTATAAAAAGCAGTAACAGGCAAACACACCATTCTTAGTCTTATTAGCAGTGGTAACATTACCCACATTAGGCAAACTTCCCACAGGACAACCCAGGAGAATGTGGGCTGTGTCCTTGCCGTGGGGTTGCCACGGAATCAGTCAACAGCTTTCTTTAAATACAAGTGGGTTTTTCGGGCCCCATCACAAATCAGGCTAAATCTGATAACATCAGGACTTGGAGAGTGAACAATAGCTCAGTTGAGCCTAGAGAGTCTGGTGGGTGCAGAGCTTCGGCTAGATTTACACCTGGTGGCAAAGTTTCCCAGGAAGAATTCAAAATGACTGCCCTGCTGCAGAGCCCTGGGAGAACTAATCAGGTGCCTCTGCCATTTCTGTGCACTTCAGCAAAATTCTGGTGGATGCTGCGTGGCCAGGCCATGACCAGGCTGGGTCTCAGCCAACCTTCATTTCAACTGCTGTGTGGGATGTTTTTAAATTAGGTTCCATCTCAACAGGCTTGCTTTCTTTTTGTCTTTTGAGTCTGAAAAAAATAATAATGTGCAGGTTTAGTCCACGAAGAAGGGACTCACATCTTTTGAATGAGCAGGTGATGCCTCTTTAGAGAGACAAAGAAAAGAGCCTGGGTGCATTACTGGTAATAAAAATCAGACAGACTTATTAAGCACCAACTATATGCTCTTCTTATGAGAAGATTCTGGCCCAAGGAAGGTTGAGAAGCTGGCTGGAAAGAACAAATAGGTAAACATAGACCAAAAGGTCCATGTGGACAAAAGTTCTGTCTGGTTCTCCAGTGGTTCTGGAATGCTTAGCATAGTCTCCAGCAGGCTCTCTCTTAAGGGATAGGATATCAGCTGCTCCTGACACTCTCACTCCCTGGGAATTTCCATCTGCTGAAAGGAACTTCCCTCTGCTGCAGGGAACTGTGTGGTTCGAGGCTATGACTCTTCCCAGCACAGAAGGGGGGAGCAGCCTCTAGCCAGTGCCTGACTGGAGTGATGGTATAAAGGGCCATCTCTTGCCTCTTTCAGGACAGTTCTGAAAGGCCATCCCAGTCCTAGAGCTCCCGGAGGGCTGGCCAAGGTCTCGGCAACTGCCTCTGTGTGCCAGCTTCTCCCTCTGTATCAGCTTCTCTCGGTGTATCAGCTTCTCCAGCTGTGTGCCAGCTTCACCCCGTCAACCTCTCTCTATAGATGTCAGCTTCTCCCTCTCCCTCTGCGTGCCAGCTTCTCCCTTCCCCCGTCTTGCCTTGCTTACTTCCTGACCACTCTAGCTCCTGGGAGCCTCCCAGAAATGCACTTCTCAGCTCAGAGTCTGTTTCCAGACAGCCCAATCTAAACCCATGTGGAGTGATGAGCATCGCTCTACTGGTCGCACAAATAAATGCCTGTGAGCTCACAGGAAGGATCAGTGAGCCTCCTGGGCAGGTAAGGAAAGCATCCCAAAGGAGGCAGTATTTGAGGAAGGATTGAGTTCCCTTAAATTTACACTCTGCTCCTACTTCCTCTTCACTATAACCCTTCCAGGGAGGTACTATCACATTCCCATTGGACAGATGGGGAAACCAACGTGCAGAGAGGAGAAGTGACCTAAAAAAAAAAAAAAAAAAAAAAAAAACATAGCCATAAGTGGCAGGGCCAGGACTTAAACTCTGGTCCCTAACTCCAAATCCAGCGTCTTTCCCATGTCACTAGGTTCCCTGCCTAGACCTCTCGTCCCTGTGGCACTTTGAAGGTTTCAGAGCATTTTCACAGACACTGACCTTCACCGCTATGACTTAGCAAGACAGGCATAGTTCTCTCCACTTGACTAATTGTTTGGGGCTGCTTAGGGTCATGCTAAACAAAACCAAGAGCACAGGGTGAGAGAGCCAAGACTTGATGGGGGGCAACAACATGGCTGGGAGCATGGGATAAACTCCCATGCCAGCCCTAGGGCAGAAACCAGTCAGGAGGTCCCTAGGAGCCACCCTCAGGTCATTTGCCAGACCCACGATTCATCTTTTACAGACAGTGATGAAACACTGGGTGGCTTTTCTTCCCATGGAGAAAATAAGATGGAAAGAGCCTGCAAGCTCCATAAGGACAGAGGTGATGTCTATTTTGCCAAGCTCGTTATCCTTAGTGCCTACCTTGCCCAGTGCCTGGCATAAACTAGTACTAATGACAGTGATGGGTAACATGTATATCACCTTATTTTATACGCTGCGTGGTTTCTGAAGACTTTACATATATTTACTCACTAAATCCTCACATTCCGCAGCTAGACAAACACTTTTATTATCCTCACTTTGCAGATAAGGAAACTAGGAACAGAGGGATGTGCAGCAAATGTATATTTGAGGAATGAATGAATGAATGATCAGTCTTATCATATGTCAAGTTACAGATTGATTACCAGCATGGGACTGAGAACAGTATGTGGATTATTTCCTTAAGTCCTCTTTGAATACTCCCAATGAGGCATATTTACCAATCCCACTTTATCAATGAGGGTAACTGAAGCTGGCAGTGGTTAGGTAATTTGTCCTACAAATTGACAGGTCTTGAACTTAACCCCGGGTGTGTCTGACTCCAAAGCTGGCACTCCTAATCCCTTGGCATTAGTCCCTTTGGATTTTGTCTTCTCCACTGTTTTGGATAGGCACAGCCCTTGGATAGATGATGCACATGAGCAGGAAATTAGTCTCTATTCAATGGCAGAAGGCTGAGAATATCTCCATTAATGCTCCATCCTAAGCAGCCCCAATTAGTCAAGTGGAGACTAATTTCTTGCTTGTGTGCATCATTGATCCAAGGGCTGTGTCTATCCAAAACACAGTGGAGAAGACAAAACTCAAAATGACCCAAGCAGCTAAGTAGACACCACAACACTCTTGTTTTAGACTCAATTCTAGCAAGCTGCTCAGCCTCCTTTTCTCAGTCTCAGCAGATGAACAGGAATGGAGTTAGAGTGACTTCTCTTAGTAGGAAGGCACAGGAGGAATGATTAAAATGATAACCATCAAAGCCTGGGAATCGGAGGCCACTGAGCATAGGGGCAGATGGCTGGACCCACATCAACAGCATTGCACCCAAAGCCCAATTACTGACTTTGAGTTGCTTAGAAAAGGTTGCCTTGTGCATGAGACTGCAAAGGTAGAAAGCAATTAACTCAGGACTCTATGGCAAAGAAGAGGGTTGGAGCTGTTCCACCCCTTTCTGAAAGAACGGTTTAAGCTATCTGAGCCATAGCTTCCTCATCTGTGAGGCAGAGACAATGATTCTGGCCCCCCATGGAGCATGGGCAAGATTCAGCAAGCTCCTGAAGGTGAAAGCACTTGACAACAGTAGCCAAGGTGAGTTACAGTGTTTGACATGTTCTGTTTAACAAGACTGGAGAGAGGCAATACATTTTTGGGTGTTTTCCAATAATATGGAGGAAATAATAAAAAGCTGTAGTATTTCAAGGGTTAAGTTTCATTATCCTGAAATTTAGCCTCTGTAGATCCCCTCAGGAGGCTGATCCAGGAGACATGACTAACTGTACCAGTCTTTCAGCCTTGCTACTAGATTACCCACTCGGTTCACCTTCTGCTTAAAGGTTGTCCATGATCTCAGTCAACATATCTAACAGGGCCAAGGACAGACAGAGCAGGACACTGAGTGTAGACTTTGAAATCTATAAGTCATTAGTTCAAAATGGGGGCAAATGCTCTTTGGGGACAAGTTGCTAAGATGCTGGAGCTGCTCCTACCTTCAGCCAGTCCTGGGGGAGGTCATTTAGACTTCAAGCCAGATATCCTTGGGGGGTATCAGTTGGCAGCACGCTGGGTCTCTCAGTAGAATAGCCAGCTGTGGAATCGGCATCACCAACATCGTTAATTTAAATCTCGTTTGCTGAGCACCTACCACAAAGTAGGCATTGTGTGGGCAAAGCAGGAAATTTTGCGACAGGCAAGCTCCTGCCCTTGAGGAGCTCATAATCTACTGAAGGAGATGTACAGTGTATGATAAAACAGTATCATGATCGTTAACCCTCACTAAGCACTTACTATGTGGCAGGCACTGTGCAAAGACCCTCATATGCATCATCTCATCTCACCCTCACAACAATTCTACTCTTATCTTCTCCATTCTACAGATGTAGAAATTGAGGTCCAGAGAAATTAAATCAAGGTCCTCAGCTGGCAAGTGGTGGAGCCAGGATTCAAACTCAAGCTTTGAATCCAGAGGCCATGCCTGCAATCCCTATGACCAGCACAGTAGGTGGAGACAGATAAAGTGCCCAGCGGGAACATGGGGGTAGGGGGTGGGGCTCTGGGGTACAGGGTAGGCTTTGGGACCAGCTGGATGTGGGTTTTACAACTGCTCTACCATTCATTCACTGGGGGGCCCTGAGGCTCAGTTGTTTTCTAAGGCACAGGAGGCCAATGGTGCCCCTGTGGAGGAGAGTCATGAAGACCAAGGGACTGACCTAGTGAGGGTGCCTGGCACTATTTTGGGCATGTCCCACAAGACCAAAAGAGACCAGAAAGAGCACATGAAATTTGAGGGGTGGGGGTGGGGGGTCAGAAAAGGCCTTCATGGAAGAAGGGGCTTCTAAGATGAGCCTTGAAGGATCAACCAGTTTGAACTAACTTCAAGGAAGGGTGCATGGTGGGGCAGGCATGAGCAAAGACCCTGGTGATGAAAAAGCCAAGAGCCTATTTGCGGAAAAAGCTGGCTGGAGCCAAGGGAGAAAGCTGGGGAGTAGAGTGAGACAGAGCTGGAAGGGAAGATGAGTCTACATTCAAGCTGGAATGACAGTGACCTCTGTCCATGTTTATTGAGAATCCACTTTGTGTGTGTGCCAGAGACCAGGCATTACTGAGTTCATCCTTTGAAGACACCTCTTTAAAGAAGGTTGAAAGACAAAGGCAGCAGAGTCACAGCAATGGACTGGCCCACTTCCTTTCCTTCCCTCTAGCCTCCCCCTGGGGCTGTGTGTTACATGATATTGGAGAGCGAAAGGCATATACTGCTGAACATTAAACAGACCATAAGCAAAACTACCATTTCACTGTACATCGGCAAGGGTGCGCGCGTGCGCACGCGCACACACACACACACACACACACTCACACACACACACACGGTGAGAAGCCAATTTAATTCTCCAAAGGATTGCATAATTCTTAGGTGATATTAAAATAGCTGATGAAGAATCCACTTTAATCTTTTCTGGGTGGGCGCCGAAGGGCTGAAGAGCATCACTTAGATATTTCTGACAGAATCATTAAATAAGAAATAAGCTGCCAGCACTGAGCTGCAAAACCATCAACTCCTAAAACTACCATCTCCTGCACCTTCCTGGGGCCACAGATACCTCCTGGATGTTCAGGGTGGGTGGGAGGGGGCAATTCTAATGGGAGGCCTGCCCAGCCCAGGCCCTTGCCAGCAGCTCCCACAGGTCAAGCATAACTGAAATGAAACCCCCTCCTTCCCAGCCCCAAAAGAACTTCCTGTCTGTGCCAATCACTTGGCACATAATCATGTCCAGCCTGTGCCTGCTCTTCTACCCTTGGCTTGAATTGTATTAAGAATAATCTGACTTGTAACTCTTTATCAGTGCACAATGTGTCTTCTCAACCAAGCTGCAAATGTCTTGAAGGAGAGTTAGAGCTGTGCTTGTAACCCAATCCCTGTCCACGTGTCTGGGACAGGCCAGACAGCAAATATTTTGCCACAATGCTAGATAATGAATCTATGGTTCTTGAATGTCTACTAACATTATCTTCCAATAATAAAGTCACTAAATTATTCATCTGCATATTCCAAGAGTCTAGAACAGAACCTGGCAGACAATAGTCCAGTTAAGACTCCTTCTGCAGCCTTCTCAGTTGCAACTTGGAAGAAAGGCTTCCTCCATTAGGTTGGACCTGAAGGGTGAATGACTAAATGGGAGGGGCTGGGGAGGGTGGGGAAGAATCTTCTAGGCCAAGAGGACAGCAGGGGCAAAGGCCTGGACTATAGTGAGGGTATGGATGTGTGTGGCCACGTGGCAGGGAATGGGCTTCAGAGCCTGGTGGAGGAGCAGTTAACCTGGATGGAATGAGAGGGCAGCCCCTTTCCATTAACAGGAGGGAGGGGGAAAGGTGGGAGGTTTCTGGAGCAAGGACAAGGTTTGAAACAGCCAGTGAGGAGAAAGGAGAGAGAACTGAGTTGGGAAAACGAAAGGCTTGCTGTATAAGGTTGAGGGTCCAGCTGAGGTTGGTGACCACACGTCTCTGTTATGCCAAAGTGTGTGCCTGGCCAGGATTTCTTCAGTCCCCAGTGTAGGAGGCCCGATTTGGGTTGGAGTTTCATCAGATGGAAGGGACAGAAAAACAAGGGCAGAGAAGATTCTCGCCAAGAAAATGGCTGAGGTAATAGGTTATGGACTCTAAACAGGAGAGGGGAGAAGCAGGTTTATGGGAAGGCAGAAAGCAGAGGGCAGTGGCCTGGGAGTCTCCAAGATGTCGTGGGAGGGACTCAAGTTGCTGGAGGGACAGGAGGTGTGGTCAGGGCCATCAGAGGAGGTGCAGATGCCCCTGACAAGGAGGTGCAGGCTGCGGGAGGCAGCTGCGGGAATGAGGCGTCAAGGAGCTGCTGCTCCAAGGGCAGGACTTAGGCGCATGAGGCAGGGGCGCGGTCCTGCTCCCCGGACCAGGTTCCCTTAAAGGGCCCCTCAGATTCCAGGGTTCGCAGGAGTCAGTCAGTCCCACAGCCCCATTTCCAAACCGGGGCCACTGAGAGGCCCAGGGCCTGCTCCAGGTCACAAAACGGGCTACTTCTCACTGCCCCAGACCCCGGGCCGAGCTCCCCCACTCCGGCTCCGCTCCCCTCACCCCACCCAGGCCGGCCGGTTCCGGTCAGACCGGAAGCACGTGGCCCCTGACCCCGCGGCGGTTGCCCCGGAGACCAGGGCTGTTTACCGGCCGCAGGGCGCAGGAGGCGGATGGAGCATGGAGCGGAGCGACGAGGTGAGCGCGGCCGGCTGCCCGACCGCGGCCTGCCCGGGGCCGGAAAGGACAGTCCCCAGCCCCCAGGCACGTCGCCCGGTTGGACCTCCCCAGCCCCGGCCCCAGGGGCCAACCCCGGGAGACAGGAGAGAAGCTTTGGGAAAAGTCGCTGCTCCACGGGGTGGGGGTGGAAGTAAAGCAAGCCTGGCCAGAGCTCACCGTTATGGAAATAGGACAACTCCCGGGCTCTGCAGAAGCCGAGGGGCCTACGGAACCGCTGGGCCATGCCCTCCTGGCTGGGCTTTACCGACCGGGACACAGACCCAGAGAGAGGAAAGGACCGCCCAGTCACACGGGGACGAACCGGAACCACATGGAGCCTCCCCCAACCTGTGCTCTTTCATCCAAGTCAAATCTCACTTTCTAGAGTGCTCTTTCTTGCCCCTCCCCCCAATCCCTCCTCTGCTACTTAAGCTTGTTTCCTTCTAGGGCTGCCAGAACTTGGAAATAATTGAGTTATCCCCACCACCTCCCCGCCCTTCTGCCGCTGGAATCTTCCTTAATTTCCTTTCCAAACCTTTGATCACTTGGTGGCTTGTGGTTCAGTGCACTCTGCATAGGGCAGTGTACTCTAATCATTATTCTGGGGTCCAACTGGGAATGGTACCAAAGTTTTCTCATTCTCAGGCCAGCCACCATCTCCTGTTCGTTCTTCTAAGTGTTTTCATCCTGAAAGCCTGATGGGTGGGGCGGAGTGGGGGTGGGGGGGATTGGCAGGGAATAGTATTAACTGATAAACATTTTTAAAAGACCAATTCAAATGTATGCATCTTGGTATATACCAGCAGATGGTATGTAGGTGGTTATATTTTATTGCCTTTACTGTAGGTTTAGATTTGGGTTGTGAGCAAAATAGCGTGGTCTGACCACCTATTTCCAAGGGTTGTGGGTAGCCTTGGAAAGCAGGAATCTTGCTTTAGCTTCTCCCATAAAATTTTCCTTCTCGCCAGTTGATTTGGTGATTTATCTTCTGAACATGCACCTACCCTTCTGGCAGTTTCCTGGAAACAGTTATCAGTGTTTGTTTCCTGACTCCTAGCTGGCCTCTGGGGTGCAGCTATTGTGTTTAAGTAAACAGGCCACTTGCCTATTCAGCTGGCAGCTTGATGGATGCCCACGCCTAGATCTTGTCAAGTCACTTGGCGGTTGAGCATCTGCCAGGCCTAGAGGTGGTGAAATGAGCTGAGCAGGGATAATGATGGCTGCTGCAGAAGCCCTCCTGGGCAGCGGGCAGAGCTCAGGACCCAAAGTGTGAATATAAAGGCACAGTTGGCCCAGATCCCCAAACACCTGTTTCCCCCACCTCCCCTCTCCATGTGATGGATACTGGGGAGAGTTGGTGTTCCCTCCATGTAACAGATGGTCCCTGCACTCGGGAGGAGGCAGTGGGTTATGAAAGCAGGTTGGATATAACGGTTTTACCTGAAGGAGGTGTTAGTCTCTAAATAACCATGAGTGGGTTTGTAGGAATTAGTCATAATTGAGGTTTTTCTCTGAGATAGCTCGAAGTCATGTTATCTTATGACCAGAACGTCTTGAATATGAAACCCCCCGAACATGGATAATTATATAGCACCAAAAGGTATAGAAAGTGCATGCACATAATCAAGTTTTACTGTTAAAAATAATCCAGCAGAGAGCCTGTGAGAACACATGACTTTATTCATCAAAGTTGTTAAGGAAGAGGTTTCTAAGTTACCAAACTTACTGACAGTTAAACCCTTCCTGAGGCGTGTGTGGGTGGTGGAAGCCAAGCCTGTGATAATTCTGTAAAAGCTGTGGCAAATTAATGGCCATTCCACAGCGGGGAGGGTGAGCTGAGAGGGGAGTTGGTTTACCAGCTGAGCTTATCTTTGGCAGAACAGTTGGACAATGATGACCTTCTCGTGCCATCCCAAGTTAAAGTGCAGAGCTGCTTAATTACAAGCGAAAGACTTTAGAACTCAACTAAAAGGGGAAAAACACATTCTTCACAGTTGATCAGAAAATAGATTAAATTAACAAGGAGTTGGGCAGGCTTTTTTGATGCCAAAACTTTGCTTAAGAAGAAGGCTCTTGAACTCCTCTAGCAGCCAGATTGGGTGTGAAAGACGAGTAAGAAGTGGAAAATGGAAGTGGAGAAAGACTCGGGCTGGGAGCAGAATGCAGCAAACACAGAGGCCTTTAAAATGAAAGAGAGGGTAACTCTGCCCAACTCGGGCTGTTTGGGCAGGACATTAGGAATGTACAGGAATATTGTGTGTTGTTTGGTCATGGTTTTAGTGGAGAGGAAGAGGATACTCCCTAAAAGCAGGCAACAGTGGTGACATGCATACAATGGTAAGGTTAGGATCCAAAGCTTAAGGAGCTTGAATTACATGGTTGAGGATTGTGTGATGGAGCTTGGAGGAAGTGAATTTGAGGTAACAGTGTGGAAGTGGAAGAGAAGTGATCAACTCAGGAATGTTTTCACATTTTTGAGGCAACTGCGTAGGCAGTAGCTTACTGAAATCAATCTCCCAGCATTTCCGAGCAGTGAACAGAGCAGGCATGAGTCCCAGGGAGTAGAACCACCAAGAACACCCTGGGGAAATGCTCTAAAGCAACTGGAAAGGCTTTTGGACCTAGAGTGATAGAAAGCACTAGACAGACAGACAACCAAAACAAAAAGCAGAAAAACCTTAACATTTAATTAAGCCTCTACTATGCGCCAAGTCTGATGCTTTGTGCCTTACCTACATTACTTCATGCTACTGTCATCAAGTTACAAAGAGACTGGTGTTCAGAGGTATTTAAGTAATACCTTCAAGATCTAATTTGATAGATGAGGAAAGTTATATACTGGAAAAGTAGAGTGATTGCCTCATGGTCACATAGCTAGCTGGTGGCAGGGCCTGAAATAGAACCCAGGTCTGTGACACCTGGTCCTGTGTCCTTTGTACCTAAGCATGTTGCTTCCTGGGGACCATGAGGCACTAGGACGTTACCAGAAGGTCTTTAGAAGGCTGGGAGGGACTTGGTCAGCCTGTAAGCAGAGAAAACAAGTAATTACAGTGGTGGTCAGGATTCAGAGGGGGGCAAGGGGCAGGGAGCCCACCAAGATGTTTGCAGTGTTCTGGGAAGATATAACTGGGGACTGGGAGGAGGAGGTGGTGGCAGTGATGTTAGTGAAGGGGCCACCAAGATGGCAATGAAAGAGGGGGTGACATGATTTGGCAATTCTGGGTCTGCACAGGGAAATGCCCATGCCTCCCACCAGGCTTTAGTACATTGCTTCTGTTGGATTTAAGTAGCGCTAATGAGTACGCCTGGTGGGAGATCCAAATACAGATCTCGGGGTGCTTATAAGGTAGCTGGGAAGACAGAAAGGTAAACAGCTAACAGAGAGACAGAATGTGATATGCTGGGAGAGAGCCGAGACTGGTATCAAGAAGCAGCTTGTTTGGGTGCAAAGGACATAGGGCTGAGTGTCATAAGACCTGGGTTCTATTTCAGGCTCTGCCACCTGCCAGCTGTGACTGTGGGGCAATCACTCTACCTTTCTGGCTCATGTCTATAGAATTAGCATGTGCCCAGATGCCCTTTAGAGTGGATCTAGGACTGGGTTCCATAAATTATAACCCACAGGCCAAATCTGGCCCACCACCTGTTTTTGTGTGGCTCATAAGCGAAGAATAGCTTTTACATTTTAAAACTGTTGAAAAAAAATCAAAAGAATTTTGTGACACATAAAAACTGTATGAAATTCACATTTCAGAGTCCATAACTGAAGTTTCGTTGAAGCACAGCCACCCCGACTCATTTACACACCGTGTATGGCTACTTTTGCACTGCGAGGGCAAAGTTGAGTAGTTAGGAGAGGCTGTATGGCCCACAAAGCCGAAAATATCTAATACTTGGCTCTTTACAGGAAAAGTTTGTCAACCTCTAGTCCAGAATCTGAGTACCTCTCCTGTGAGTTCTGGCAAATGGCCAGAGCAGCAGTGGAGCTTCCTCTCCCTGCAATCCCTGACGACAAAGTTGGGTCAGTGGAGGAATATCACACAAAGTGATTTGTGAGAGCCACCTAGCAAGGCAGAACAAAAAGACAGTAGGAAGGAACGGAGGTAAAGGCAAACTACGGATAGACAGGAAAAGTGTAATGAGGAAGGACTGAGGGAGAAAGGGAAAATGGGGATCCCCGAGGGTGGCTCTTCCACAGTCAGTAATGTACCAGGCAGACCGCGAGTCCCTGGTTTAAGGGAGCTCTCTGAAGCAGAGCGCAGGGAGAAGTTTGTCAGTCTACCTCTCTCAGCCCTTGAGTGCAGTTGAGCCCAGTTTCCCTGCTTAGTAACTTCACAGGGCTGCTTCCACTCTTTTGAGCAAAGGCAGCTGCTGGTACCACTCCGGACTACACCTCCACGTCTATGGGATGGTACAGACCACCCCAAGGGACTCCCCACCCTCGGGGCCAGCAAATTCCCTGGAACACGCCAAGCTCTGCCTTGCTTCAGGACTTCACCCTTGTTCTTTCCCCTAGACACTTTCATCTGGATTAGGGGTAGGCAAACTATGGCCCTGGGGCCAAATCTGGCCTACTCCCCATTTTTATAGATAAAGCTTTACTAGAACACAGCCATAGTCGTTTGTTTAATATATTGTCCATGCTGCTTTTGTGCTGCAGTGATAAGAGTTTGGAGGGAGACCAAGTGGCTCCCAAAGCTGAAGATAGGTATGGAAAAAGTTGGCCGACCCCTGCTCTAGATTACAACATGGCTTGTTCCTTCTGGTCATTGTGGCCTCATAGCTTAGAGACCCCTCATAAGAATAAGAATCAGTCCCCCCTAGTCACTCTCTGGTATGATATTTTATTTTCTTCATAGCAGTTATTACTCTTTGAAAATGCTATTTACTTGTGGGCTTAAACTGCCTTTCCTCACTATAATAACTTAAGTTGCAAGGACCTTGGTTCACTGATATATTCCAAGCGCCTAATATGAATGAATGCATGAATGCAGCTGGTGCCTCCTACAGATGCCAGAAATCCAGAGAAAAGTGCTCCCGACTGTGGCCCCTTGGTGCTTATTCTTGGCACTTGGAGAGTGAATAGCTCGGATCCAGGAGTCCTGGGATGATTAACCTATGCCCTCCTCTGTTTTTTTCCTGCTTCCTTAGGGGTCTTGAGAAGCAATGGCCACAGAAGCCCCTGTGAACATAGCACCACCTGAACGCAGCACTGCTGTCAGCACAAAAGCTGACAGCTTCATCTGGCAGCTAAACTCACTGAACATGCATGTCATAAGGCCCAAGTCCGCCAAGGGACGAACACGGCCAAGTCAGCACAAATCCCAGGGCACAGAGGTGTGTTCTCAACACATACCATCTTCTCCGCCTCCAGCCATTCCCTGTGAGCCACCAAGTAGCCAAAAACCAGGAGCCTGTGCACCCAAATCTCCAAATAAGGGAGCTCCTGATGAGATCCCAGAGTTGCTGCTGCAAGTGCCCATCGGGGCTTCCTCTTCTCTCAATAAATACCCAGTCCTTCCTTCCATCAACAGAAAGAACCTGGAGGAGGGTGCTGTGGAGAGAGTAGCTAAAAAGGCCAGCTCACTGCAACTGAGCAGCATCCAGGCTCTTTACCAAGAGGAGACCTGCACCATGAAGACAGGCCAAGATGCCAAAGCTCGAGCTTGTGCCCCGGAGAGGAAATTCATTGTCAGAACCGAAAGACAGGACTCCCCCAGGGCCGGAAACCTGGAGGAACCATCAGACCAAGAACCAAGGCTGCTGCTTGCTGTCAGATCACCGTCAGGCCAAAGGTTTGTACGCCATTTCCGGCCAACTGATGACTTACAAACCGTTGTTGCCATAGCTGAACAGAAGAACAAAACCATCTACCAACACTGCAGCATTGAAACAATGGAGGTGCCCAGGAGACGTTTTTCTGACCTCAGCAAATCTCTGCAAGAGTGCAGAATCCCCCACAAGTCGGTGCTGGGCATATCACAGGAAGATGGGGAGGGGTGGCCCTGAATCCACAGCCACCCAAGCTGGGGTCCTGGATCTCTGAGCAAGGAGCATGCTTGGGTGTCATGGCTTCCCAGGCAGCCTGGTTCCAAGTGCCATGTGAACCTGGGGCAGCCATGATCCTTGGGACTCTCATTTCCACAGCATGTTCTCTGAATCAGCGAAGTCTGCACATTGTACTGAATGTGCTGAGAAGACTCCCTTCCAGTTGTTACATTTTCTCCACCACTGCAGTGAACTGGCAAGTCCTGAAACAGCTGTGGCCAGGACTTCTTTCCAGAGTTTTGGGTTTTTCTAAAATAGTGGTGCTTTCTGGAGCACCTGTTCCTGAAACAGCTGTGGCCAGGACTTCTTCTTTCCAGAGTTTTGGGTTTTTCTAAAATAGTGGTGCTTTCTGGAGCACCTGCTTGCCTTCAGAGAACTCTGATTCTCTGAAGCCAGTGGTTTGCCTTTCTGTATTTGATGCAGGATTAAACATTTCCTAGAGAGGATTCTAGTCTAGTAAATAACCAGGGTTTAGGAAATATCTAATTGGCATTTGTATTTCTTGCAAGTATCTTTAAGAAACAGGTGGTCGATCCTATCTTTGGAAGCAGCCTCTTTGCTGGGCTTGGGTGGTCAGAGTTTCTTGGGGATTAGCATTATATGAGATGGTATCAAAGGGAAAAATAGGTCTTTTGCTAACACACATCCTCTGGTATATCAACATTTCTAAAACAGCCCTAGAGCTGGAAAGTAGGTTGCTTCCACGACCAGGGATTACCAGTAGTTACTTTTTAATAGAGACTGACTAGGTTTACAACTTTTGGTAGCTACTCTCTCTGTGCATAATTCTTCCAAAACTGAGAAAAGCCAGTGAAATCTGATTTCTTTTGCTTTTGTCAGTAATGGAATTTTTTGTTTTTAAAATGTACAAATCTGCAAGTCTGTACTAATGGCCCCCTGGCTTATCTGGATAAATTGTTTTATCCCCCAGTTTCAGTGTCTCCCTTACATCAAACATGGAAGGTCCTTTGGAGAAATGACAGCAGTGCCCCTGTTCTCTGACTTAGAATCCTCTGCAGGAGGAAGAGGGCACCTAGGTTTGGTGTGCCTGTGCTGAGACCATGTGCCCCAGCATCTGGTTGACTGGCATGAAGCGCATCTGACTGCCTTAGCCTGAGCTGGGTGGAAGACTCTGGAGTCTTGTTTTTCCAACTCTGAAGTGGTGACCTGGACAATTTGCCAAAGTTCTCTTGTATTTCTAGTTCAGCCAGACTCCCACAATTCATCTGGATTCCCTTTATGGCCAAATCACCCCTCAGAGCACAGCTATCATGAACCCCTGAGTATGTGCCCTCACCTCCTAGGTACGCAGAGAAAGCAGGAACCAGGGGTTCTAGAAGCACATAAGTGTTGCTACCTCAGCAACAAGAATATCTGTGCACAGATGAGGCATGTAGTTGGAAGTGTCACTTCTAGCATGCCACAGAGATTATTAGCACCATCACCATTTGCTCTGGAGAAGGCTTGTCTTGTCCTAACTGCATCCCCCACCACCCAGATCACTCGAGAATAAATTATTTCTGAATGTTTTGTAGAATTGAATTTCTTAATACCACGCTGATTTGGTCAGCTGATCCTTTGACTGGAAAGGCCAGCTGGAGCTGGCAGTGCCTTGGGCAGGCCCACGCAACTGACCATTCTAATTACTGACCAATTACGGCTGAAGGGAGTGGTGGCTTGAGCCTGATACCTACAGTACAGGAATTTCGCCTCCCATCAGGACTTAGGCACATTACTCTGCCTCTGATCTAGGAGGTTGGGGGAGAGCTTCCCATAAAATCACACCTACTCTGTGGTAAGAATAAAATCCCACCCACCTGAGATGTGGTAATTTCTCCAGAGAAGAAAGCTTTAGAAAACTTGGGTAAAATGGAGTATGCTTGAAGGAGTTAGGATCTTCTGTACTTAGACTTTGTTGCTATTCAGCTTAGAATTTTAAGGTGGTGGAAAAAATGGGAGGCATGAAACATAGAAGAAATATGTTAGGATATTTTAGGACATGTGAATAAAGCTAGATTTGAACCATCATAATAAACTTTTTTTGGACAAAGGATGATGATACTAACAATAAAACCGATGTGTGTGTAACTGAGTCAGCAGAGAAGTACGCCTCGTGTTTAGCTAAGCCTTCAGAGGCCGCGCGCTAGCAGGCAGAGGGGTGCACTGACCTGGTCTTCGGTTTTCTCACTGGGAAAGCACTTGTTCTGCTGTTAGAACCAAGTCCTCCTCCCAGACCCTTCAGATGCCTGCCGCAGAAACCCTCTCGCCCCTCCTTTCAGCTTCTATCATAGCACTTACCTTTTCTTTATGGGAAGAGTCTCCTGAATTTCTCCTAAAAATCATTCCAAATAACCCAATTTTGAAGGTTAGCAAGAACAGACTATATCAGAATTCAGAGTGCTTGGTGGCTCTGCATGTGGCATTACCCTGGCCTAATGCACTCAACTGACCCAGCTCACTATTCCCAGTGGCTCTGGGTAGGTTGGCCTTGCCCATTTTATGGTCTCAGACCTCAGTCATTCATTTAACCAATCAAGGCCTACCCTGTGCCACACTTAGTGACAGGCATTGGCACCCTAACAAAAGAGTGTTGGCAAGAAAATGTGGAACCACCCCTGGACTCTCAACTGAAAGCCTGCTGAAGTCAGTGGCTATAGCTTTGTCCGTGAAGGACTCCAGAGTGACAGTTGACTATATCACTACTGTGGTCTTCTCCTCACCTGTTAGAAATGCAAAAGAAACTCTTCCCCATCTTTTCTAGTGATTGTAATAGGAAGATTGCTCATTAGGGATATGAGCTTTGCATAGGACAACGCTTCATGACAAGTTATTCCAGTATATTCCTTGATAAAGTTCAATAGGTAAATTAGTCTTGGCAGCAGAAGGAACAGCAGGAGAAATGAGTGACTCATCATCTAGAATACAAAAATTTGCACCAGCAGATGGCAGGTGGTTCTAACACAACAGTCCTTGCCCCAAAAGTACCTGGGGACCTAGCCAACAGCCATCAAGCCAAAGCAATCCTGCTGAAGAGATGGCCTGTGAACATGACTGTGGGCCAGTGGTCACCGCAGAGCTCCCATATAAGAAACTAAGAGGAGCCTTGAGGCGTTCCATTGTGACAGATACCTGCTTTACAAAAGTAGGCATTCGAGGAACTAAACTTTGCTTTTTTTCATGCTCTTATCTACCATTTTAAATGGGTTTCTAATGTCAAATAAAGCCACCCTGTCAAGAGGGAAAGAAGTTTCTCTTTGCACAGTTTTTATCAAGGTCTTCATAATAAGTTCAGATAAAAGAGTATATATACTGTTTCCTGTAGTTCAGGGTGTATTTTAGATGAGCCTTTTATGTGATAGGAGGATCTACTTTTCCATTTTTGGGCAGAATCACAAAGAAAACGAGATTACAGTCATCCCTTGGAATCCATGGGGGACGGGTTCCAGGACACACCCCCAACAACAGATACCAAAAATCCACGGATGCTCTAGTCCCTGATATAAAATTGTGTAGTACTTGTACGTAACCTACACTCATCCTCCCATACACTTTAAATCTTCTCTAAATTACTTTATAATATCTAATACAATATAAATGCTACGTAAATAGTTGTTATACTGTAATTTTTTAAATTTGTATTATTTTTTATTTTTTTAATATTTTTGATCCACAGTTGGTTGAATATGCAGATGCAAAATTCACAAATATGGAGGGCTGACTGTATTTTGCTTTAGCATTAGTTTTGAAGTCATTCTGAGAATTAAGCAGGAACATGTGTTTTCTTAGTACACTAAGGCAACACACCACAATAAAGTTAAAAGTTCATGAGCCTATTTACTTTCAGCCTGAAACCAGAACCAACCAAACCCCACCATATAAGCTGGGAAGGTCAGAGGCCACTGTGGAGGAGTTAGCAATCAAAGAAGAATAGACTCTGCTGACTCAGTTCCAACACACGAGACAGTAATTCACATTATAAAAATAAAATTGGGTGTTTTATTTTTTTGTCTATGCCAGAGACATGCCATTTTCCTTTCCTGATCAGGGAAGTTTCTAAAAGCCCTTTCTAACGTTCTTCTGTGTTCTCTACATTCAAACAATTTAGGAAGCAACAGCACTCCTGAACAGTGATGCAGAACAAATCTCTGGTGATATTTTTGGACACACTTACATCCTATCCCAAGAAGCTGAACAACTGAGTGACAGATGCCAATGAGTAAAATTAAGCTGGCTTATGCAGACTGTCCTGCTCAGAGGAACATTCTGGCTGCTGTGTTGAGATGGAGTGTAGGGGTCAGGGTGGAAGTTGGAAGGCCAACTACTGGAGGAATGACAGCAATCAGGAGAGAGACGGTGGTGGCTTAGGTCAGGGTGGTAGCCACAGATGTCATGAGAGGTGGTCAGATATAATCCATTTTCTTATGGGGAAAAAAGAATAGTTTGGCAAATTGGGTATTTACCCAAGTGGTCTTAGCTTGACCAATATCACCAATGTGGACTGTTTCTGTAAAAACAAATTAGCAAGCAAACATGACAGCAACAAAACACATGGCAGACCTGGGAAAGACACTGGCCAGCAGCAGTGTTCATATGAAGGAAATGCATGAATGTTTTTGGACAAAGTGTACAAAGAATCCCAAAGCTATTAATTGCTTTTATTAAAAAAGAGATAACAATGGGCCGGCCTGGTGGTGCACTGCTACAGTGCGCCGCTTGGGAGCGCAGCGGCGCTCCCGCCGAGGGTTCGGATCCCACTTACAGACCAGCCGCTCACTGGCTGAGTGAGGTGCGGATGCAACACCGAGGGTTGCGATCCTGTTGCCGGTCCTGGTCCGGTACGGGCGCAACACTGAGGGTTGCGATCCGTTGCCGGTCACGAAAAAAAAAAAAAAAAAAAGAGATACAACTAAAAAGGTTATTATATCACTTAATGTTTAGGTCTAAGTTAAAATTAATTACCATCTAACTGTAGGAGTATGATTATTGACTAAGTTTACTTAATAAGAAATCCTTGTTCCAGCTAAATAACATTGTTTATCTTTATCTTTCCTCCTCTTTCCCTCCCTTTCTTGCCGACCTCCATTCCATTTATTCAAATCCAGCAGCTGATTTGAAATGCGTGTCTTCTTGGAAGAGCAAACAAAATCACTGTCCTGTGGCCTAATTAAGTGCCTAGTTTCATAATTTCATGCCTGCCTGTTCTTTACAATGAGGAGATCTGTGCAGTAGGGCCTTGGTCCTTTTGTGACCAGCTGAGAACTGTGCCTCTCTGACTCTTCTCTGACAGGAGATGTAGGGATCACGTTTCCACTCTGGCTGGTGGGCACCACCAGTAAACAGCCTGGGTCTGCTCGAGCCCCAGCCCATTGTTAACAAGAATGGCCAGCCATCTGCAGACAAACCCTGGGAGAATGGTATCAACTCCCACCCTCCCAACTAGAAAGTATGGTCTGGAAACTGTCTGCTGCCCCCATCCCACTCCCTGTATACAACCCTGGAATACTGTGGGTATCAACTCAGGCCAGACTTAAGTGTACCATGTCCTGAAGACTCTGGATCTGGACTCTTGGGAAATCTGTAGAGGGTTTCCCCAGCCCAGGCCTGGACTTCAGCTTGTTCTTCTTCTTAATGGAGTTCCCAGCAGGCCTTCATTTTATTCAAATCACCTGTAACAAATTAATTCAACAAATATATATTGAGCATCTCATATGCCAGGCACATATTAGGCCCATCAGTAGACAGAGCAGGCCCCAAATCCCAGCTTATGGAGGTTACATTCTAATGGGGGGGAGACAGAAAATAAATAATATATAAAATAAATAGCATAGAATGGTAGAAGGGGATACATGTGACGGGGAAAAAAAAAAAAGAAAAAAGTGGAGCAGCCTTGGGGATCTGGAGACCACAGCAGGGGGAGGTTGGCTAGGATGAGATCTTACATGGGTGGTCAAGGAACATCAGAGTGAGGAATTTATAGGAGATGAGGGAGTCAGCATACGGATATGTGGGGGGAGGAGTGTTCCTGGCAGAGGAGACACAAAGGTCCTGAGGAAGGAGCATGTCTAGCCTGTTAAGAGAAAGGCCAGCGGCCAGTGTGGCTGGAGCAAGGGAGGGGTAGAATATCAGAGATGGGGACAGGAGACAGTCACTGTCAAATGGGGGGTCAAATAGGGAGCCACTGTAGGGTGTTGTGCAGAGGAGTTGTGCCTGATGTGTGTGTGCAAATCAGCTCTCTGGCTGCTACGCTGAGAACAGGCAAAGGGCAGAAGATGGAAGACTGAGTAGAAACTATTAGCGTAATCCAAGCAAGAGATGAGGACCAGATGTCATGAGAAATGGTCAGCTTCTGGGTATAGAATCCACTTACTTGAAAAAGATAGTAAACTTAATTTTATTGTAAAAATAGTATTAAAGTAAATGCTAATCCATACTATGCATCATCATCATAAATTATCTTTCCAGGCAGAAAAGGCACATTGTTACAGAATCCATTGCACTCTGCCCCCAAAACAAAATACCTGCTTTTTTTTTTTAATGGAAAACTTGGAAAATGTAGAGATTAAAGGGGAAAATACAAATCATTCATAATCCTTTCAGTCAGAGATAACCCTTGTTAATATTTTGGCATATGTTATTTCATTCTTAAAGATTAAATTTATGTTGTGCATTACTTTCTTGCCAATAGGCACACATGCATATTTTTAATATCTGTAATCCTAGTATACAGTTTTATATATTTTTTCCAAATTTCTACAGTCTTCATAATTATTTTAAGTCTGAGTAATATTTCAACACATTAATGTACCATAATTTATTAAACTATTTCCCTTTTATGGAACATCTACATTTTTCCAGTTTTTTGCTTTAGATGTCAATGCTGAAATCTTAATTTATGCAGTTTTTCACATCTTTTGAATTATTTCTTTAGGACAAATGTCCAGGCATAGGATTGGTAGGTCAAATTATACGAAAAAGTTTTATGGATTTTGCTTTGCTTTTCAAAGGGTTATAGAGCAAAACCCATAACAGTTTCGTTGCAGCATCTTCAGTTTTGAGGTTACCACTTTTTATAATTTCCCTAATTGTGTTGATTGAAAATAAAAACTAATTTTTTTTCTTTTGCATGTCCTTGATTACTATTAAATATTAACATTTTCCATGTCTTTCAATACATTTTTAATACTACAGTGAAAAACCCAAGATGCAGTTACTTTGTTGTCATTACCTGGGACATTCTATCACAATCAAAGCCAAGGAAAGTAGGGACTGCTGGGAATGCTCAGAGAGAATTTTATTTTTTCTTACTATTTATATTTACATGAAGAATTATACTTTTCAAAAACTATATGATCTTGAACTGTGTGCATGCTGGATTTTAATGAATCAAATTTTATTTAAATAATATCTTTTCATTGAACCAACACCCTGAACATGTACAAGCACCAGACATGGAACATAACAATGAATCAGACTGGTTTTTGCTCTCAAGGAATTTCCAATCTAGTGGCAAGAGCCACATGAATAAAAAAATTGGCATATACGTTAAGTACTGCATTAGTCTGTTTCTATTGCTTATAACAAAATTACCTGGAACTGGGTGATTTATAAAGACAATGAAATTTATTGCTTACAGTTTCAGAGGCTGGGAAGTCCAAGGTCCATCTGGTGGTGGTGACAGTGACTCAGCGGTCTCACATTGCAAGATGGTGGAAGCAGAGAGCAACCTCTTCATTCACTCTCTTTTTAAAGCCCTCAGAACCACACCCCTGGCCACCATTTTTAATCCATTCACAACTGCACAGTCCAACAATCCGATCACCTCTTCAGGGCCCCACCTTTCAATTACCATAACAGGATTTCCCACCCTTTTAACAGTCACAGTCGGGGCTAAGTTTCTAATACATAAAACTTGGGGGACACAATTCAAGCTTCAGGGAGTTTAGGGGGGACATAATTCAATCTACTACAAGTACCATACTTGTCTTTTATAACACTTGACAATAGTCTGACACCAACTAAGCACAACAGTGGCAGAAAATATTCTTGTTCATCTACAATAAACTCTCTGGAAGGATGTCTGAATGCTTCACTGCTCAGGAGCCTGGTCAAAGCCATTAACATTCAGTCTGGAGAGCCAGGGCTACCAAGCCACTGTCTTCTAATGTCTTTTAATACAAATTTTTTTTAAAAAGAGTGTGGAAAAGGTGTGAGAGGCAGATTGAGGGACAGTGAGTCTGGAAATCAGTCCACTCTACAGAGAGCATTTTCCACCACTACCACTGGGGAAACGACGCTGGGACTTGCTGAGAATGCTGTTGGACCTGGTCCTGGCTGTGCAGCCTATGCTATGCTGCTCAAATCATTCTCCTCCAGGCTGGCCAGCCAAGGCATTTGGATGGCCAGTCTAGATTCTTCAGTCCCATCCAAGAAGTCCAAGGTGTAAGCCAAAGACACCTGCTCAAGACAACAAATCAACATATACACTCACAGTCAACACGAAATGCTGTCCCTTCACTTTCAGGCAGAGGAGCTATAAGACCAGTGCCTAGATACTGTGTAAAAAGAGGGTGGGGTAAGAGTGGAGGATGTAGCTGGCAGACAAGGACTGGGCTGCAGACACCTGGGGAAATGCAGACAGTCACCAACAAATCTCAGACAACGTGGTTTCCACAGATGGGGATAGGGGACCTTTGACTCAGAATAGCCAGAAATGCCTCCTAAATGGCTTTTGAATTCTAAGACTGAGTTCAGTAGGCAAAAATTAGAGCTGGCCAGTTAGCTCAGTTGGTTAGAGAGCAGGCTTATAACACCAAGGTCATGGGTTTGGATTCCTATACCAGCCAGCTGCCCAAAATAAAAGAAAAAAAAGGGTTGGAAAAAAAGGAAAAAAACCCAAATAGGCAAAAATTGAATATCGGATTTTAAAAGGGGGTCTCAGCATCCAAAAGACTCTGGAACTTATTCAAAATGCCTGCCCCAGATCTTCTGAATTAAAGTCTCTGGGGCTGGACCCTGGGAACCACTCTTCTAGGGAATGCTAAGGACCAGCCAGACTAAGGACTTATGGGTGGGACTAGGTCATTTCAAGATCTTTTCTAACACCAATAGTCTATGATTCTCTCAGTGACTGGCCTCTGCACCTGCCCAGGGCATCCTTCCTCTCCCCAGCCTCAGCTCTACTTGTCAGGAGGACACCTGACAAGTTTCAGCTCCAGCCCCAGCCCTCCCTGATGTTCTCTGCCAGAAGAGACCTCTCCTGTCCCTGGGGTTCCACAACTCATTATCCCCTCAATTTTTTATAAAAGAAACACTCCTATGCGGAGTAGAAAGAGCATAGGATTCAGAATCAAAAGTTTCATGTTCTACATTTAAGTGGGTCATAATATCTGCAAGCCTCAATCTTCCCACCCACAAATGGAAACAACTGCTTTACAAGGGTTGTTGTGAAGAATCAGATAAAATACTGTGTATGGAGAATGTTTTGACACCTGTAAAAATACGTACAAATGCTAATTTTTATTTTAGTAACTACCCATCTTATATCATTGTCATTTCTGTCTTCACTGGTTCCGCATTTAGTGAACATCTGCTTTGTGCCAGGCACAGGAGCTACAAAAATGAAGACATGCTCACTGCCCCCAAGGAGCTCCCAGCCCGGTGGGGGGATAGGTACACAGCAAACTGTGATATGTATCATGAGATTAGCACAATTTTCTTCACTGATGCATCTCCAGTGCCTAAAACAGTACCTGGCACATAGCATGTACCAGGCACTCAGTAAGAGTTTGTGGAATGAATGAATAAATTAAAGGGTATTATGGAATCACAGATGGAGGATGGGAGGAGGCTTCTGGAAAGTAACATGGGAGTTGAGGCTCAAAGGGCCAGGTAGGAGAGAACCAGCCAAGAGGAACAGCAATGCCATAGAAGCAGTGCACAGCTGGCCTCTTCTACAAGGCTGCAGGGCCCTTCAACACCAGCCCATGACTAATTCATCTTTATGCCCTCTTGGTGCCTAGCTATGGGATCCGCACATGGGAGGTGCCAACCTTCCCAAAACAAAACTGTTAAAGATCCTGATTTGAAAAACAAAAAACAACTCAGCATCATAGGCATAAAACTAACTTAGGTCATTTGGGTCACCCAAGCCCTTCAGCCAGTTCACAGTGACGTGTCTCACAATGATGCCATCCCCAAAGAGCTTGGCATGATTTTCAAAGCTCCTTGCAGTGCTCTCTGTAGAGCTGGCAAGCACAGATTAATTCAGTCCATCTGCTTTGGTCCTCATCCACATATTTCAGAGCAGGTCTCTCATTACCATAATCAAGAAAATATATTCTTTGCAGCAAGGGGCCATGCAGACAGGTAGCTTCCTGTTCTTTAAATATTTTACATTTTCTCAAGAGCAGAAAACCAGTCTACAAAGTGTGGCGATACCATTTAAGTAATCACATACTCTAATAGCCCTTGCTAGGTTCCTTTCAGGGGCCACATCTCAATGATAACACTGTGCCCTGGGCTTGGGAACTAGATCTAAGGGAAAGCTGTACCCCGAGGACACTGGGTAAGTACATTTCAGGGTCCCTCTATGAGTTCTGTCCTTGGATATATCCAAGAAGAGAAATGGAGTCTTGTGATCTGGATGGTTTACAA